TGTGAGTGTGACCAGGTTGCTAACACTGCTGTTTCTGCACACCCACTCTTTTTTTTTTTTTTTTGTGTTATACTTATTCTTGCCAATCTCAGCCTCTAAATGCCTGCTAAGGGGGCAATGAGCCTAAATGTGCAAACTTAAAACCAGGGGCCTGCCACTACAGCCACCCACCTTTCCCCTGTCACGTGTCACGCACTGGACTACACTCATACACAGATGCATTTGCAGTAAATATATGCACTATTTCCTCCATCAAAAAAAACAACACATAAAACATAGCTACAGGAAATGAATAAAACCGTACCATCTGTGTTTTTCAAAAGATAATTATTCACTTCATTTCATCAGTAGAATGTGGTATAGTGGGATATAGGTTATAGGCGTCCATATGCTGTAATCAGAGCATATGCCAAAGTGGATTCAGCTGAGACATTTTTAAACATGCACAATGATTCCTGTGCAAAAGAAATAATGAGATTAAAATGCACTTTACATACTGAAGACTAAATTTAACTAAAATTAGCTTACATAACCAATTCAGTCTGTTGGTTAGTTTTGTTTCTCCACTCTTTGTACAATGGTTTAACTGATAAATTTTTTTTTTAAAATGCATGCTATACAATTGCTGAAAAATTTTCTTTATTCTAACAAAGTCTTCAGCTATGCACATTACACACCATGAACTGACCACCAAAGAAGACAAAAAAGATTTCACAAAACCTTAATTAGCTGCATATGAAGGACTATATAATCATTTATACTTACAAAAACACATAAAATTTATTGTTGTAATTAAATGTTTTTTTTTTTTTTTTTATAGTTATCACTATGTAACTTTTTGGTTAAGGGTTCATCGTGTGCTTATTTCTATGGATTTATCATTGTTCCGCTTGGAATGTTCCACAATATGACAATAAACTGCTCTACCTTTCATCTGTTCAATTACAGGTGGTTTTACTGCTCAAAAAATGCATTCTGACTGTCTCTCCACAGATCTGACCTGTAACTTTGTCTGGTTCTATTTCATTGAAGAGGTTTAATGCATTACTGTGAAACATTCCAGTCAAAGCAATAACATCTCCAGGAAGAAAAGACGGACATTTCACCAGAAAAGTTACACAAAGTACCTTAAATAGCTGTATATAAAAGAATACACAATCATATATGTTAATAAAAATATAAAGAATTGAATGTTGTAATTGAATGTTTATAACTTAAAGGTGGATTGTGTAACTTTTCTGGAGGGTCTGTTTTTATTGCTTAAAAAACATAAACAGCGTCTCCACAGATCTGACGTGTGACATGGCTTGGCGGTGTTACTTTTTTGTCTCCATAGACATAGGAGATAGACATGTTTACCGCAATACTGTGGAGCATTCTGGACAAAGCAACAACATTTCCATGGAAACAAGGAGGTGACAGATCCTCCACCAGAAAAGTTACACAGTGCACCTTTAAACCTCAGCCCAATTTATCAATGTAATATATGACAATTTGCTTACAACTCAGATTTGCTGCATATGTCACTTTACTGTATTTAGTATGATATTTCACAAACATGCATGGAGCTCTGGAGCTGTTCCGATCTTCTGCACAGACTCCCGCATGTATCACATTGTATCACATAGCAGTCTGTGCCGAGTTCCTCACCAGTTCAGCGGTGCAGGCTTATCAGCAGGCGGTGTGTGTGTAACTGTATGTTCTTGATAGAATGACTCACAGCGTCCTGGCTCCTCTCTGCTGTGGCTTCATCACATGTTTTTCAATTACATTTCCAATTAAAGGCTTCACTGATAGCGCCTGACAGCTGCTGAGGACCACGGACACAAATACACCGCTTCTTGTTCACGTAGCTTTCTATAATTTGCACAGTTTGTAGCAGCATCAGCATTAAAAGGGACAACACTGTGTCCATGTGTAGGTAAATTCAATAACACAGCGTAAGTCCTGAACTCTTGTTGGTGCTTACAAGAAAAAAAAGGCAAAAGTTATCTGAGCCTGTTTTCAAAAGTTATTTTCAAATTGATAAAATATTGATCATCCTTGTAAAATAAACAGAAATAGTCCAACAGTTGGAACAAGAGGCATGAGGCTGAACAGAACAGGACCCAGAACCCACAGATATGAACACCTAAAACATTGTGATGGTGTTCATTCTAGTGCAGCCCTGTCTGGCTATGTTTCCGTTCTACGGAGTATTATCTAATGACGTAGGCCAAAATAATAAGGGGTGAGCTGGCAATGTGGAGATGGCTGGCACAGCACTGAAATGCAATTTCTCCATCAGTTCTGGCCTGTGGTCAAGAATATGCAATATCTATTTTAAGACTGATGAATACTTCGTTATTTGAATTTTAAAACAGTTTTCTGTTGACTATATGAGAGGTGTGAGAAAACTGTGATTGTGGTATTGTAAGATTAAAAACTGGTTTGCCATAATAGAGGATGAGCCCAAGAGTCTGAAACTGTTCTGCACATTTAAATGCCTGTATTATATGTTAGGATCAAGAGCATGTGTAATGTCTAACCCCAGTTGTTCTCCATTTCTACAGTGTAAACTTGTGAAAAATAAACAAATGACTGTAGCATATTCTATTGTGCCACCCACCAGGACTCGAGTCCATCTGTTGGCACTTAACACATAAACCTTCTCATCCTCTGGTGATAGTAGCAAAAGAGAGAGCGAAAATTGGGCACAAACCAAAATATCTATCTGTTAAATTAATTCTCTCACAACTTAGTGGTGGAGTACTTTCCTTTGTATGTATATCTTTTCTCAGTAATTTCCAGAAGAGCTTCCTTTTGTGCAGAGCTAAACAAAGAACTGTTGTTGTTTACAAAGGTGTATTGTTCCGTTCACAAAAGCGATTACAATTGTGATTTATGACACCCATTCATCCCCAGTGCATGAGCGCAATGTAAAAAGTATCACCATCTTTATCACAACCTCAAGAGAAGTCTGCCACAGTTGACGTATAGAAGATGATCTGTTATCTGAAATAGCTTTGCCTGTGGTATAAAGCTATGGCCTTTTCTTTAACATCAGTCAATCTATGTAATCTATATTTAGAGCCTGTCCAGAGTTTCTGCTGAGCTGCCTGAACAGTCTCTCTCAGCAGCACAGGTCCAATCTGTGCTCAATGCTCACCGATGGTTAAAGTACTGCTTAAAAGGGGCTATATGTTTACTTTTATCAGGACATTTATTCATCATCCTTATCATATCAATATCATATCCTAGCAGCAAGATAGCAGTGTAATTTCCTCAAACTGATATAAACAGAGGTAACAAATCTCAGCAGGAAATCTGCACAAAAACAAGGAGAGCATTGTTGTGTCTTTGGGCAAGACACTTTACCTACTTTTCTTATATGTGAGTATACTGGCACAGGTTGGCAGCTATGCATCTGGTAGTCTACATTGGGGATTTCTGGGACCTCAGCTGTGGGTGTAATTATTGAAGTTGTTAAACTGTTATAGTGCTTATACTCCACTATCAATGACCAGCCAACAGAAGCAAATGACAAACTTAATTATCTGTGGCTGATGCAGTTAGTCAAGCTGAAAGCAGAGAGAGGCAGAAGTGGTCGTGAGCCTGCCATTATTCACCAAAATATGAAATAAAAGCATGTTTTATGGTTTTCTGTTTCCATCCAGTCGTGTAGGTATCATGACGCTTGAAAGGGCCTATATTACTAAGTTATATGATTATATTAATATGAATTATACTATATTCATAATAATTATTATATTATTACAATTTTCTGATCTATGTTACAATGTTGTTTCCTTATCAAACATTCCTGGAGTTGTGTCTTGTTTCATTCATAACACTGCATATTTAGGCTTCTTCTCTCAAACAGAAAACACCTTGTCATGTCATGTGGTAATACAGGAAGCAATCACTGTTTTTAAACTCCATTCATTTGAATCATCTGGATATTTTCAGTCCTGGAATTGCCATTTTCTATTGAACAAAGGGTTAACTATTATAGGATATTTTTCTGCCTTATGGTGGTGCCAAAGTTTTGCATTGAGTTACAAAGCCGATCGCATGACAACTGAGAAACAGACAGAGGTCCAGGAAACACTGCAGGCCATTAGCACATATCTGCACTAATCTGTCTGCACCGCATCAGGCATTCCAGCACACATTATGACACCCATTCTCTATGATTTATCAGCTGTGAGTGTGACAGCCCAGAACTCACAATGCCATTACAATGCAAATCCTTTCTGCAACACAAAACATCCATTTGCAAAAGCCAACTCCTTCGATACTGGGTCAGTGAGGTCACTTCAAAAAGAGAGAGGATCCTGCTGGCAGTGGTGGAATGTTACGAAGTACAAGTAGTAAAGAATTGCAGCTAAGTAAAAAATTTAGGTATCTGTGCATTACTTAATTTTAAAGTGTAGACTTTTTACTTTTACTTAACCACATTTGAGAGAATGTGTCTGTTCTTTCTACACCACAATATTTTTGAACAGGACTAAAAGTAAAAATATTTTTTATTATCATTTGAGACCTGCTCAAAAGGTTGAGAGTTTTATTTTTAACACATTCATAATTTGAGCAAACAAAAATATACAGATAAAAACAGCTAGGAAAAACAAATAATTCAATAATTTCTGTTGAACACAATTCAACACAAATCTTTATCAAAACATTTGAAACTTTGTTACAGATCTCAAAGTAGTTACTTTATCAGTTACCTTAATATTCTTTTCATGTGATACTTTTACCTTTATTTGAGTTTTTTTTTTTTTTTTTGCTCTTTGTATCTGTAAGCTGAGTACTTCTCCTACCACTGCCTGCTATAACATAACATATAAGCGGCATCCAACGAAATGCTCTGGCAAAAGTCATTATGTTTGTTGAGTAATCCACTACATAAGTGAAGTGACAAATAAAGATTTATTGAAGCTGGAACTGAGTACAGAGTCAGGTGGATTAATGTAGACATGTTGGTTATGTGTAAACAGGGAGTAGCTGAGCCTTACCTGATGTGGCAATGGACTGTGACAGGGCGCTCATGGGTAATGGATCAAGGTCTTTGTGTGTGATTTCTTCTGATTATATGCACTTTTAGATGCCCAACAAAATCAGTGTTGCCTCTATGAATTGTAAAAACAGAATCATTTGGATAGTCTAAAATGTAGATTATACACACTATATATCTTTCTGTTGTCATTGATCAGATACATTTTGGGGGGAAAAAAGTATTTAATTTGGAAATGTATATATGTACTTGTATGTATACTTTGAGATCTTTGCAGTATAATTTTGTAAGGAAATATTGTTCTTGTAGGATTTGGCTAATAAACTGGATTATTCACAGAAAAAGATTAAAGATCCTATATTATGCTAAATTTATGCTCTTGTGAGCTTTAAGCCATGTTAGTGTAAGGCACAAATCTGCCTGTGCATATTCTGTATCCCAAAAGGCTACCTGTTTGTCTCATTCCTCCTCACCCACTTGATCCGCTACATTAGAATGTCATTACCTCATCAAAAATACACCTGGAGTTGTGTTTTCTGTTTCATTTACCTACGTTTGAGTAATCCTTTTTAATTAGTTTGGCTACATCTTCAAAGCTCAAAATGCTCTGTTCCACCTTGTGACATCAAGCTGTAGTTTTCAAGTTAACAGCAACCTTTTAAGTTTTGTGTAGTAGAAATTTGCAATTCCAGACCTGAATTTACCCAAATGATTCTAGTGAACGTGTATGGAGTTTAAAAACACAGTGGAGCACTTCTTGGATTACCACATGACATCACAAATTGGACCAGAGTCTTTTCTGTTTGAGAAAAGCTCAAATGTGCAGTTTTTGCATGTTAACCATGTGTGAATGAAACAAAACACAACTCCAAGTATTTCTAATAAGGATGCAAAATGATAACATAGATCAGAAAAAGTGTGATATGAGCCCTTTAAGGTTAAAATACATCATCATCTGCAGTACATAAATAAATATGTTGTAACTTCATGTGATCTGATGATAGACTAAAATGTGAAGAGATGTGTACACAGGTGTCAAGTAAAATACATGCTGCGCATAAAATATGATTAGTTAGACTAAGATGTTTTGAGATGTAGCTGATGCAGGGCTCTAAATACACAGAGGAGGCCTTCGTTTGACACATTTGCTTGTCATCTGCAAAAGCCATTATCACCTCAATGTACCCTGGAGTGTGGAGCAAATTACCATTAGTCAAGGTCCACACATCCAGACACCAGTCTTATAAAAATACTGATTAAACTTTACATGATACATTGGCCCAAACCATCCCTGTTCGCCTCACACCCACACCACTGCAGCAGCACCTTGAAAATGAATGGAGGATCTTGTACAAAAACACAGGAAACACAAAACACCTGCAGCTATTTTTCATCACTCTACAAATACAGAGAGCCGCCCAGGTCAGTGACATGAGGCTGGGTCCAGGACAAATGAGGGGGCTGACCTGCAGCACCACCACCTGTGAGAACATAAGGCCAAAAGCCTATCCACCAAGCAGGGATTCAGTACTAGATGCACTCACTTCAGCAAAACACAGGACTATTATTTAAGTTACTATTGTTTGTTATTTCTGTATTCATTAAGATTTATACTCAGGAAAATATTCTGGGTAGTGGTTTGTAGTATTAAAGGTGCAGTGCGTAACAGGAGGGTCTGCCACCTGCTAGTCTAGAAATATTATTGCTTTTTCTAGACTGATTAATCAAAACCGATTTCTGCAAGCATGTGAGTGATCTTCTGTGTTAGTTCTGCATTTCATTCTTCAGTGTTCACTCATATGTAAATGAGTGAGTTTAAATAGTGGACTAAAACTGAATCTTTAAATGAACCGAAACTGCTAATCTTATAAATAGGAATATTTTGCTTCCAAAATCATGCAGCCTTGAATGTACAGTAATTTTCAGGTCCGTATTGCTCCATATTGCTCCCATAGTTTCCATATTACTCCCTTTAGTTTATAAGTATTTGAGGAAAAGTGAAAGTATCATCAGAGTCCAGCTTCAGTCCAGGTGTTGAGTCATATGAACGTTTGATTTCAATAAAACTAATAATATTAAAAATACATTTATTTGAAATAAAACACACCATACAGCCAGGTGACATACATTGAGCTGAACAAATAAAAATTACCTTGCTTTAAATCTACACAGAGAAACAGAAAACCTTTTCTAAGCAAATCTCCAAAAGGCTATTTTCTAACATAAACATTATAATGTTTGCATTTTTAAAAAAAGGCACTGGATTACACTCAAAGCAAAAGAATGAAAAACTTAACTATGACTATCCAGTGTTTTGATCATCTAATCTCACTGCCCTTATAGCTCAAAACATAAAGTAACTGGTACGGTGACATTTTGAATTACAAAGTTTAGTTTAGTTTAATAAAATAGAAAAAAATGCTGATTTTCAACACTGTGTCTGTGCAGTGGACTGACCTATAGTTGGCCTGCTCCGTGGTGGGGCTGAGAGCTCCCCCTAATGAGGATGTGTGGGAGGTGAGGAGCCACGCAGCGGGACAGACCCAAAGCGGCGGACATAGACCAGATTATATGAAACTGTCAAGAGATCTGCTCCTTTTAGATCTAAATGTTACTAATAATGAATAGATGGGTTTGAATGCCAACCTGACACTAAATAAAAAAATTAAAAAAAAGTTGGAAAATACAAAAAGGCTGCACAATAATTTACAAATTCATGCTTAAAATGTGCAGTACATAACTTTCTGGAGGAGGAACGTCACTGTATGATTCCACAAAAAGAGAAAGTTAAAACCATATGAAGATAAGATACATTTTATACCATACTGTGAAATATTATAAATAACAACATTTCCATGGAGATAGGAGGCCAATTAAGAGTCAGGTTTGTAGAGATACAAGGCTGCTCACAGTAAGGACCCATGTTTCTCTACGTTTTTCAGTGCAATAAATAACCAAAAACATGCTCTTATCTTGCTAAAAAGTTGAAGTTAATGAAATTTTATGTTACATTTCTGTTACTGTCTAAACATGTTAAGACTTTAAAATATGTTCCCCAATAGAATTATTTAAAAGAACAAATTTTGTCATGATTCATCATTTTGGTTTAGCACTGATTTAAGTCCTTGACTTTGGTTCACTCTTAACCAGTAAATACAGGGACATTTCAATGAATGTATCCAGACAAGCCAGTGTACCCTTTCTACTGAACAAAATTATGGAGTAACTGTTAAATTAAAAAATAACAAAATCATCTTATGTGCAGCCTACCAAAATACCACATTAATACAAAAGCAGCTAGTAATTTTTGCATTAGAGATTCTACATTTGTTGTGTTATCAGCACCCTGAGATGTTTTTGGTCTTGTTGCGCCTTTGGAAGCGGGTGTCAGTGGGGTCAAAGCCCTGCTCCTCTGCTCCAAACAGAGCCCAGGCTGGAGTCTTGGCCATGTAGTCCTGAGACGAGAAGCTCTGCTCTCCTGCACTGTCCTCATAAGCCTGAACCAGCTCCTGGAAACGCTCGTAGTCAATCCACGTCCACCACTCTCCATCGATCTTAAACTGTTCAGACAAAAAACAATAAACAGTGAGTTAGATTTGGAAAAAATAAGATTTGGTTACACTTTCCACCACGTTAATAGTGTATTACCCCAAAGGACCAAAACTACTTTTCTTCACAGAGCTACAATAGTGAGAGATTTATATACTGCATAACAATGTAAAACTGGAAAAAGGTTTTAAGGCTTTTTTCATAAATATGGCTAAAAGCTCACATTATCACACCATCTATCACAAGTTCTTATTACACTAATTGAATACTTAACATAATTACACTCAATATCTAATAAAACACAAACAAAATGACTTCTGTGTGTCCAAAGCTACTGCATTTCAGTGTGTTTCCAAGCTGATGAGCTTTTGACAAGGTTTTGTACTTGAAACAGTACACTGAAGCTTTGTGTCAAAAAAAAAACCATGGTTCTCTGGCATTAAACAAGACAGAAAAATCTCAGATTCTCAGACTCCTCTGACAGAACTTTACCAGCGTGCAGTGACCCTGAGCACTACTAAACCTTCCCATCTTCACCATCTACACTCCCCTCAGGCAAGACATACAAAATGTTCAAGACAAATTCTGATTACACAGAAAAATACAACAATATCTTCTACCAAATCTTTTGTCTGTATGTTAGGTAATATTTGGTTGTATACATAGCCTGTAAAAAACATGTGCTATTATGACACAAGTATTTACAAAACACATAAGAAGGCATAAGAAGGTATTGCTCTGTACTAGAATGGCAACAAACAATTGTTGATTGACTATGATATTTTTTGATTAGTCAGCTAATCAAATGATAATTCCTACTGTACACTGAAATTATTTTAAAAGATTTTAACCAGATAATATGTAATGAAATATGGTGACTGAAGGCTTCTAGATACAAAATATTTATCAATGAAATCAGAAATTGTTCATTCTTTTTAGACATATTAATTTCATAGTGCCACTGTCTTTGCAATAAAAAGGTCTTTTCATATTATTTCATACTAGAGTGTGTATAGTCCAGAGAATGATTATCATTATTTTAACATTATTTTAACAACTCAAAAGGCAAAAAAACACTCAAGTCTGCACATTCGGAACATTTGTTTGCTCAGTAAAAAAAAAGTTCCGTCCTGAGATGATGGCCCTCTCTGAGAATAACTGCATTAAGCGTTTTGAGGCTTAAGATATCGGCTATTAAAGTGAGGATACCCACTGCATTACTAATGAACCTTAAGAAGAGCAAAAAACCAAGGCAGAGACTGTTGGGACTTAATGTTTCTGGTAATGAGCGGGGAAGAGATTTGTTCAGCCGCATCTTGGCAAACAATTTAACCATTATGCAACAAAGGAAAGAAGATGCTCTGAGAAGGACTGGTGTTTACTAAGAGTCTGTTTACTGAGGAGAGTGAGGAGCTCCACAGGGGGGCAGGGAGTACTGCATGGTAGTGTACATGTCAAGAATTATAGAACTATATAGAAGAATCTGTCCTCAGAAATATGACCACATTGAATACCACAATTTGTCTGATGTTGGTTTTCAAACTGTGATGACAGCACAATCAGAAAAGTGTTAATAAAATACTACATATAGAAGATTATACCAGTGCTTCTTTTGAATTTAGTTCTTTATATAGTGTCACATCACAAACAATATGTCCTCTACGTGAAGGCATATATTGATTTTTATTTTATTTATTATCCACATTTAGGTGCAGCAAAGCTGCCGCTATTCTTACAGTGGGCCACACTATACACAATCAATAATGCATTTTATTTAACATTTAAAACACTATAAAATTTACAGATATATTATTAAATTAGTCATCTTATTCTTATCTGAAAGTAGTGATATCCAATTAAAACAAAAATTTTTAATTCCAAAATAATATTTGGTTTCTAAATCTAAACTACAGAGAATCAGATCATAAGGATGCACTTGTCATTTATATGCTATAGACTTCTCCTTGGCTTTATCCCTTGAGGATATCGTGAAGGCTGCTCAACATGCAATGAAGGAAACGTTTTCTTCATATTTGCTCCACACAGTGAAAGCTAACAGTCTCAATGACCCCTACTGTGGAGTACTAGACACGCATTGTGTAATCTACAGTGTCCAGTAAGAAAAGAGTAAGACCTCCACTGAGGACAAAGAAGTGCAAATAAATGGCCCAGTATAAAAAAGGCACGAACACCAGTTATAATAGACCACTGGAGGTATGATGACCTGAGAGACATGTGGAAGTGCACTGGAGGAGCAGGTACTGAAAAACACAGCCAGAAATCAATTCAGTCAAATATTAATGGTGCCCTTGGCTGGCTGAGCTTACCTAGTGAGATTTTTCAGTGCATATTAACCACTAAAAAGGGTTTAGGACAGACATTATGTGATAAACTTAAAACTTAAACAGTATAAAGGATTGATAATTACAATTTAGGAATAACAAAATATTACCAAACTTGCCAAGCAACAACTCCTATTGAAGTTCTGCTCTGTATTCATGGGTTTGGGTGAAGGACTTTGTGAGGACCCAATTCTAAAGATATAATATTTTAATTTGAATTGCTTAATTGCTATGACCACAGAGGATGGTTGCCATAGCATGAAAACCCATGAATAACATACACTTTAGTCATGATGTGCTTTTAAAAAAATCATATTAGTAGCTCAGAAAGAAAGGATTTTGCTACAGATTTTGGTTAAGCTCACAGTAAGAGAAGCAGACCTAACAAAGCCTAAACTTCCTATTGTTATGATGCAAATTACACAGTACATAATCCACAAATGATGAATTTCTTTCAGGATGACACACTATCTGAGCTAAGCCCTCAACCACATGAACTGTGCTAAAAAGTTTCATCTACAAAATATTGCTTCTCAACAACAACAACATATTAAAGGTGCAGTGTGTGTATAGTCCATCAAATGCTTTTCTTCATGGAGATAATATTGCTTTATCTAGAATGCTTCACAGTATGGAATTTAAACTTTCTATCTTCATGGAGACCAAGCTGGACCCCCAGCTAAAAGTTTCATAGTGCACCTTTACATACACTTGTTAAAAGAGTAAAATCTTGTCACCGTTGCTCAAGAAATGCTGCAAATGGAGTATTTTTAATCGTATTTGAAAGTCCAATATATATGTTCTAGTCATCTAATGTGTAGTTTGTATATGTTCTAGTGTGTAGTTTAGATCAATACCTGAGCTCTTCTTTCATGCAGTATTGATTTTGCGTGCCCTTGACTTTACCTAAACACATGCAAGCCTGTATCATTAACCTATGTGAGATGAGCTTTAAATCCTTCTCCCTTTTTTTGTCGAAGTGTTTAGGGCCAAGACAGTTGAAACAAAGTCGGTGATAAATACATACATGGAAAGAGGCACTACTGTTCATGAGAAGGTGACAGCTGCTGACTGCAAGTTTCTTCCCCAGGAGCGAGCAAATTAATCACAACTAATCAAATGACAGGACAATGCCAATGCCAACCAGTCTTTGTCTGCAGGGCCAAGAAGAACACTTTACATATTTTGACAAGCACAAATGCAAATGAATAGGACCAATAACATACAGATTATAAAGGGCTCTGAAATGGTGAAATCCTGGGGAGAGGTTTGATGATAAAACAAAGCGACTTATGATTGTCATACATATATTTGCATATTAATATACTGACACAAGCTATGCCCATTTATAAGCATTGTTTCTTCTAAATAGAAACCTAGAAACAAGTACATAGCAATTACCAAAAATTGCTCACCTCCTTCCACACAAATGTAGACTATTTGATTGTAATAAAAACGTTTCAAATCGAATAATAAATCATTTACCTATAAACCAGAGTTAAATAAGGAAAAGATGTAAGTATTTGTATTGTGTGTACAGAATGGCCCTACAGATACCTTGGTGTGTGCGATGAGCAGGCAGTTGGAGTGCTCGTGTTCACAGGCTATCTCGTACTGCGGCAACATATCCGCCAGCTGCTGCACGAAGGACACCACCTCCTGATGCCATGGGACGTTGGCCATGGTCAGGCTACTGGCCGTACTCTCCCCACAGTATGTCACTCCCTGCACACAGAACACAATGTTTTCAACCTGGAGAGCCTCAGACAGACACAAAGAAAATTACATTAGTAGATTTATTGAAAGAGTTAGTCTTGGTGCTCAGACCCCAGCAGAAGACATTGTGATGTAGGGCGTGGCCGATTAGATGACGTTTATGAAAAGTCTTCCCCTCAGGGCCTGGACACAGGAGGTGGCAGAGGTGAGGCCGAGGAAAGTCAAAGCGACGATGAAATGATGAGAAATTGAGATGGTGCTGGGGAGGAAGTGGGGTGTAGCACGAACCAAAGCAGCCATGGAACTGCAATGGGGGTTTAAATTTGGCAGACTAGGCACTGATTGGGCAGGAGGAGGTCAGGTGAGTGGAGTATTTAGAGTGAGGGCTGAGGAGCAGGTAAGCTCTGGTGAAGTAGATGGGACCCAAGTTAGGTTTTCAATGCTGAACTTATGCCAGCTCCATTACATAATTTTCAATGAATAGGATATAGATTATTTGGAAAAAATTGAATAGAGAAAGATTCATTCTTGATAACGGTAATCAGATTTAGAACTATAGTTTAAGCTATATATAACTCCAAATGACAATTAAACTTTATGAAAATTTATGTCAGTAATTTTAATTATTTATTTTTATCTCCAGAGTTCATCCAACTCCCCCGGATGCTGGCTCCGATGCTCTGATTTAGAAATTGTTATTATTTAGGTATTTTTCCTGCCTCTTGTTTTAATTTATTTGTGATTCTGTGTTAAAAAATAATTTCAGCTTTAATTCTGGCTTTACTGTAATTGACAGAACTGATCACTGGAAAATTCTCTCTTTTCAGAATTCTTTGTTGGAGCAGTTTTGTTATTTTGTTGTATAACACTCACACTCACATTAATAACAGAGTACTGCTATACTCTTACAGGATTTGAATGCTCCACATGTCTGAAGTGGGCACAATCGTATTACAAATTTATCTCATGAGACCTTTGCATGAGATTGCACGAGATCTTGTCACATCCGCATCTGATAGATAGTCAATACATAAAGCATCCAGTTACCAGATCATGGTTAAGAAAAGTAATGAGCAGATCAGCTTTGCAGACACAAGAGATTAGATCACATCAGGGAGTAATTAAGATTTCAAGATCATTGAGAGCAGCCATTCATCACACAGGCCAAGGACACACAGCAGAGGTTATGGTGTAAACTTTTGTTTAGACAAATTGGGATATAATTGGCATATTTTTAAATAAATATTTTGTTAAGTATCTGTTCTATATTAAAAAGCACAAAAGAAATGTATGAAACAAAAGGCCTAAATATTAGTATCATAATGTTTTTTGAGATGGAAGAGGTGACACAGGGGCTTATGGGGTACAGAGGCTGGACAGAATTGATTAGAGACCTTGGTGTTATCTGCTGCGCCTGAAGCTCTACTGAATAAAGATCAACCGAAGAAGAGCAGCATAAATCTACAGAGTGATGCGTGGTGGGAAAAGACCAAGTTTGTACAAGTTATAAAAGATATAAGGCCATTTTTTTATGGATATGATCAATGCTGATGATCAAGGTCCTTCAGAGTGCATATGACTGAGCACTGAACATTTCAAACATTATTGGTTTTACTTTCAAAGAGAGAGGAAGGACTGGTTTTCAATTACTTCAATTAGCTGCAAATGTTTAAAAGAAAAATATTTTAGGGTTGATAGGCAATTGGGCTCTCCTGTTTTCCCCCATTTCTTATTTACTACTGTACAAACAAGTACTTTGTTTTGCAAATCAAGTAAATGTAATCTGAATAGGTGAAACTAAATATTATGGTTCAATCGCAGAGAGGAGAAAAGCAATCTTATCCACTGCCCCAATAGAAATATCTTAATAAACTGCATTGATATAAAAGTAAAATGGCAACACAAACAGAATGCATAATCATAATCAATAACTGTTATAATTTAAGAGATACTCAAATGATCTGTGACTCATAGCTGTCTGTAGTAGCACCAAGGTTAAAAGTATCATTACCCATGAAATATTACTAAAACTTGACTGGAAGTATCAATACTGAAAAGATTCACAGTTAGGTCCTTACTGATTAGTTTTAGAAAGGTCATGATGGCATATAAGAAAACATGGTAAAATTTTAGAGACAATTAAAGCCCATAGTAACTTGTCAACATTTTCACTGGTGTGACTCACTCTGTGATCAGGTCGAAACTGACAGCAACAAAACATTATCTGGTCTCTGATAATTGTTGGATCCTTGCAAAGCACTAATGAAATTCTTCAGTCCCACTAATTGAGATAAAATTTGAATACAATCCAACAAAAGACTCTGCTAGCCTAAAACAGTAATTAGCAAGAAAACACAAGCCTAGATGTTACTCAGACATATTATAAAGTTGGTAGAATTTTCAGCACTACTGCATCAACCCCACAACATGGAAACTCATTATTCCCCTGTTCCCCTCATTGTTTCTTTGACAGGCATGGAAATTGTACATTCACTAACAAAACAAATAAAGAATCTATCTTGTCTAATATGGTATCAAAGTATTAGATGGACAATTAAAAGTTGTAGTTACTTAAGCTGCTTGTGTTCACACCTACTACATACAACACTGGGACCAGAACATAAAACAGGACTAGAACAGGATCAAATCTGGAAAATACAGCCTAACTCCAAACCAAAAACCCATCAATTAAAAACACAAATAGATCAAACAGGTCCCACAAGCTAAAACTTTAATATGACTTCCTGTTTACAGTTCTGCCGTGCTAGCCAAGTAATAACTGCAGATATGCTCTTGGGCATAAATGCTTCAATCAGCCACCTGCTTCAGGCAACAACATTATTAATTTAGGGCCACTGGATTTTGGAGACCTCTTTGCACCTGATTTGGCATTTGTTTTGTTAGTTTTTCCCAAACTTAATCAATATTGTAGAGATTTTATATGTATGTACGTGAACATATTACAAAGTCTGTATGCCAACTCTTGGACCGCTTTTTTAAGCGTGCCTAGGTAGATTTAAAAAATCCCATAAGGTTAAAAGTACATTTTATTGTTCCCATAGGGAAAATTGTCCTCTGCATTTGCCCCATCCTGTAGTGCTGCTGGGGCAACGTGTCAGGAGCAGTGGGGCCATAGTTGAGCACTAGAACCCATGTCTGAATCTTGAGATAGGCTGGTAGGAATTGCCTTAGCTGGAGGATTAAAATTTTTTAATTTTTAAATGAATGAAGGGACTAAAGTTTTGGAGATACTCTGACTGGTATTTAGCCATCATGATTTCAAACCAGTCACAATGAGGACTTAATATTCACTGGCATTATGTTATAGAAACTATTGTTATGTTCAATGCTAAGATCTAGTATTCGTCAGATCTCAGAAGCTAAGGAAGGCTGGGCCTGGTTAGTACTTGGATGGGAGACCACTGGGAATTCAATGTGTCACAGTGGGGTGCCGGTGGCAAAAACTGTTGTTGTGTCCTTAGGCAAGACACTTCAGCTACATTGCCTAGTGTTGGTGGTGGTCAGAGGGACCGATGGCTCAGATTGGCAGCCTCGCTTCCATCAGTCTGTCCCAGGGCAACTGTGGTTACAATAGTAGCTTGCCACACCTGAGTGTGGAGTGAATGAACACTGAACTGTAAACTGCCTTGGCTGTCTTGAAAGGTGCAATATAAATGCAATGATTAATTAATTAATTAACTGAGAGTCACAAGTGGCATGGTATTAAAAGGAAAAAAGTGTTCGCATAATAAATTGTGTAAACCAGTGTACAAGGAGGCTACCTGGGGATCATTCTGAGCAGTGTGAGAGAAAGGACATGAGAGGGAACCTGCCAAAAGAGTGGCTTACTATACTATTCCAGTCCAGACCAATTAGTCAGCACCCCAACAGTGGAATGAAAATAGACAACGACTCAACATGCATTTGGCTGGGCTTTAAAAAAGTCAAAAATAGCTTTATCAGTACAGCATTACATGGACACAACTTAGTGTTTAGAAGCAGTCCAGAGAGGTAGAAAGTGCAAAATGGAGTATATGTATAGCTATGAACATCACAGGTGATTTTCACCTGAATTATATGAATCCTACTTTAAATGACTCCTTAATGTAAATGCATAAAAACAAAACAAACCTCACAAGATCTTTTTCATATATTTTGGCTAGTGTTATTGTATTTATTTATTGTATTGTTATTGGTTTTGCATTTTCTTCTGGTCATACACACAAGAGACATTTAGGCATGTAAACACAAATACAGACTAAACTAAACTCACTAACACTCAAGTGTACCATGACACTGGAAGTAACAGGGTAAAGTGTCTTGCTAAAGGATACAACATGCTGATTTTGAGTTGGATTTGAACTGCCAACCTTCGAGCTGACGCACGTGTGCTCCAACCACTAAGCTACTGTGATCCTTCTGTTGTAATTTAGGCTACTATAGGTTGCTTCTTGAGGTTTGAAAAATGACATGTGGTGCAACTAAATGAAACTGCTAAGTGTATTTTTGTATTTTAAATGTTTCATTTATTTTCAATGGCCTACTGAGACACACGCAAGTCTTTTTATTTTTTAACTTTGCCAACCTTGACTGTAACATGTACTAAACATGTAAGCCAGGTGCTCAGTACCACACTATAAATATCACGTCCGCTGAATAACCAGGGTAAGGTCAGTGTGGTACAGATCACAATCCCCCTGAACATAAACTTGTTCATGAGGTAACATTAATGCACTACACTGCACTACTTCTACAAAGGTTCACTGAAAATGTATTAACAATAAAATTCTCCCAAAACGTTTGTTAACTCACCTTGACCTCAATGAAGTCTGGCTGTCCCATTGCAATGAGATCAGCGTAGGCCAACATTTCCTCTACGTTCCAAGCTTTGACCAGTGTCAGTCTGTACACAGTCCTTTGTTTCTGAATGGGCATACAATAATAAGTTTATAATTCTGAAAATAATACAATCAAATCTTCACTATAGTGACCACTATATATACATTTTTGTATTTGAATTAGAACCTGTAAAAAGATCTACTTATATATTATATTAAAAACAAAAGTAAATAAAACAAAACAAAAAAGGATCATTATTTACCTATGATTAGTTTAATAATATATTAAATCTATGATACTATAATTTTTTTTGATAGTCAAACGTTTAAGTGTATGACAGTGGCAGTCAAAATCTATAATTTGAGATAAATTTTCATTGAATACCACAAGATTAAGGTAGAAACTACAAAATAGGCAGAAAAGTTTGACACATAAATGACAAAAGGTTGAGGATAATAGATTCTTTCCCTCGTTTAGCGTATGAGTAGAAGGTTATCTGTGACACAGGGTCCTTTCAGCACAGTGGGGAGGGGGATAATTGGCCACAGTGAGCGCTTGGAGATATTTTGAGCTCCCCCTTTTCCAAATCCAATCGTGAGGCATGACTCTATCAATCCTCTGGTGCGCTGCCAACAAGGCCAGGTGGAGGAGAGCAGGGGGAGCTGTCCAGAGAAGAGCCAACTTAACAGATAAGAGAGAGACCACCATCAAATTCACAGTGGATGTCCAACTGGCAGACCGAGAGGCAATGGATAAAGTATTTATGGTTACTCTGCAGTCAGATGAAGCACTCTTTCACACTGAGGTCTATGTAAGTGCAGTTCTTACAGCCATCAGGGGGGAATAGCTACAAGCACAAGTTTCCTAAAATACTGTGCTTTTGATCAACAAAAAAGGAAATTGTATTATATTTTTCAAGTTTGTGTGACAATGATGACCTGTCAACTTAAATATCTCAAACATATGCCCTCCAGGTACATGCCGGTACAAATTTTAAAATCATTTTATATTGCTTGATGAGCTGTCGAAGCCATTTAATTTAAAAGAAGGAAATGTACTGCCAGAACAAAAATGACAATATTTAAATTACCAATAGACGTTCTGTCCCCCACTTGGCCTGAGCCACAGCTGACCTTTGACACAATGTTATTGGACTTCAGGCTGGAAACATCATTATGAGAGAAAGGAAGATGTGGAGTGGGTGTTAAAGAGACCATATTCAACTGGGGAAGTTTTGTTTAAATGAGTTTAGCTTTTTTGTGTTTCTCAAATGAAATCATTGGCAGTTAGTGTATTGCATTTTAATATGTGGCGTAGGTTTACTGCTGGTGCCCATACTTTTGTGTGTTTACAACTGGCACAAATGGTTTGCCTTTTAACCACTTGTGGCTGAATTTAAAAGGTGCACTGTGTAACTTTTCTGCTGGAAGGTCTGCCACCTGTTTGTCTGTCACTGCAGATGTTACTGCATTGCCTTGATTATTTCACAGTATGGAAATAAAGTTGGTTATCACAACGGTTAATCGTCAAATCTATGCAGAAGTAAGCCTGGACATAGTAAAAAAAATCCAGTTTTTCAAGGCTTTTTTGCAACTAATAAAATCACAAGCCACTCAAATAAATGCACTCTCTCAGCATTTTAGCTATAAACTCCCATTGCCAACAGAGAAGATTTATTTCTTCCCCCAAAAATCTATCATACTCTGTCTCACTGTATCCCCAATGACTATCTGCCAGGACCTAAATCATTTTTTTACATTCAAAAACTCCTGATTCCAACGCTCATAATTAAAAAAGAATGACATCTTATCTTATTATTATGTAAAAAACGCTTGTCAGTAGGGAAGCAATGGTGAGTTTTTCTATTCACATATCAAAAATACAGTCCCTCACCTTCTCTCCCAGTGCTTTAAGGCAGTCGAGGAAACGGGGCCAAAAGTCTTTAAACAGCGGCCGGTCAATCTTCTTCAGGCTGTCTTTGGTGCTGGCATCTACACTGACGTACAGCTGGGTAACAGGCACCAGGCTCCTGCAGATAAGACAGAATAAGAAAACTGGAAGAAAAAATGACATGCCCACCCTTACCCTCTGAGGAGAGAGAGGACAGTCCAAGTACAAAATGTCACTCTCACTTTCTGCTGTCTAAGGCTTATGAGGAGACTGAACTCAACAAAATAACAATGCATTAAATTACAATGCCAGAGTAATTGTCAGCTCTGATCACTACGAGTAGTGATCAGAAATGGCCTTTTCACTACAAGTAGGATGAAATGCAGTTTACAATACTACTACAATTATATAGTGCAGCTATAGTAGAATTTGGCATTTCTTGGTGGGTTTTAGTACTGAGGCATTGTATGTAGTTATTTAAGGTGTCTGGTGGCATTTTATTGTATTTGTAATGGTGTTAATGATGAACTAAGTTAGACTAGAATGCGGTTATAATGAAATGTATATTTTAGACATATCATTAAACATATATAGCTTGTGTTTGTTCAATTACACGGTTTTGTATTGTTAAAAAATACCTTTAGAACATGCCTTTCCTCCTTGGAGATAGATAGTAATACTGTAATTGTGGTGCCCAGTGCAATATTTTTACCACAGCAACAATTTTTTTATTCAAAACAGCAAAACATACCTGATTTCCTCTGGGAATTGGGCATTTGTGACCAGAAAGCTGGAGATGCGGTGTGAGTGGAGCAGGCGGAGGAAAGCATTAATTTCAGGGTACATAATTGGCTCCCCAACCAAAGACAGGGCACAGTGCTTCACTGCCAGGCCCTCTTCATAGCGCTCTGGCTTAACTCCTGGAACTCCTGCAGTGGACAGAGGGCACAGATCCAGTCACTTTACAATGGTAGAGGGTGTTCACTGCCATCCGAAAATATGACCAGAGGCTGTTGTGTAACTGCTCGCATAAAACCCACAGCAGAGTCAAGACCAAAGTCAAGACCAACTGAGAGACACGATAATTTTTGAAAGATTGCATTTAATAACTAAGGACGCATAAACAGCGGGTAGTGAATTAAACAAAAAATATATATGGTACAAGTAGCATGTTTACAGGTAGTAAAACACTTGCCTGACAGACATAAATGTGTGTTAGTTAAGTGATAAGATGGCATAGTCAGGCAAGTAAAACACACCTTTAAACTCTCGAATCATGTTTTGATGCTTCTCTAAAGAATCATTCAAGATTTTTTCAGCAGGATCCATCTTCCAGCGCCACTCTGTACCCACTGGGTTTGTGTGATGTCTATGGAGAAACAAAATGAGAAACCTTTAATTGTTACAGTACATAGCTCAAATATTTAAGTACTTTCAAATAAGGACCATATAAACAAATACTTTATCTAAATGGAAGCTGAGTGATAATTTGCTACATTAAAACTAATGATTCTGAAACATAAAAAATTTAAATATTAACAGTTCCCATTAGGCCTGATTTTGGGAAGAAACCATCTAATTACAATTTTTATGATAAGGAGCCTTAATATTTGAGAGACGACTGAATAGAACACTAATCTAAGAATCCAATGTATTTCAGAACATTTGTTTCAAAAGGGGCATATCTGGCCTGACAGAAACATGGTTCATGCCACATGGTTTGCAGTGACCTTTCAGCACTGCACAGACGCCTTTTCAAATGAAATGAAGGGGAGCACCAGTTTGACATCAGTGCCACAATCAATCAATGTCTGCCCCTTAGGTCTCACTGTATGACTACTATTGGTGTCCTGTATTTAATAATTTACTTGCTGTCTGCTATTTCTCATTCACAATACACAATACATCTATATTCAAAAAAGTCATACCTCCAACAGAAGACGCACTTGTTGGCACATGCAAGGCTGGGCGTGGTCTCCATACAGCGGTGGGACTCAATGCCATAGAAAGTGTGCTTGTAACACCCTCCTCTTCCGCGCAGCATCGACTAAATGCAGAAAAGCAAGAAAATCAATTTCCAATCCAAAGTAATCAGTATATTATGTCATACCAGCAATTGTCTACTCAACATGTATTACCTTTGTCCATCGACAGAGCTTCACTCCTGAGTGGCTTCCAATTAACTTATAACCTGAAAACGTATTTTTAGAATTTAGATGTAGTATATAGGTCATTTTAATCTAGAATACTTAAATTCAGTGGTTAACAAATAGGACTATAAGATATGCTATTTTATGCCTTGACTTTGTGAATTTAACCAATCATATTGTGAACGCTCAAAAACAGAACACAGCTGTCAGCCCCATATAAAAATATACTAACTGCATGGCTTAAAATAAAAAAAAAAAATAATTTAAACAATTTATCTACTCAATTAAATATTATTATTTTATGCATTTATTTATTAATTTTTGGCATATCGTCTACCTATGACTGTAGAAACAGCAAGTTGGATTTTTAGGTTGTAACAGGGAGCATCCAGCAAGAAGGAACTAAAATTTCAAGTGCAATAGTACTAAAAGAGAAAGAGCATTTAATTTTTATGTAAGACATAATAGCTAAGTAGTCAGTGATCAGTCTAAAATATGATTAGATAATGTAATGAAAAGCCATTAGTGGCATTAAGCAGATTATGTTTTGGCACTCACTCAGGTGCAATATTTCTTACTGTTTCTTTGTTATTTAGGTTTTAATTCATATTTATGCATTTTTAGCAACATTTTCTCACCTTGTTTTGACAGTGCATCTCTCAGGGCGGGGGTGATCATCTCTCTTCTCTCCTCCTCATCTTCGGCCCTTTTAACACTGTTCAGTTTGGACAGTTTTACCATCTGTTCTTCATCTTTGCTCTAAGGCAAGCAGAAAATACAATCTGGGTTAAAAATTCCCTCTGTTTTTGGGGCTCACTGTGGCATCTAACCCAGGGTCAGTCATTTGGACTCAGATGGGTTAAACTCCTACCCTCGACATTAACCTGGATGTGGTTAAACACCTATAATAGCTAATAACTTGGCAGTTTGTAGTAACTAAAACAACACATTTACTCCAAGGAATTATTAAAGGTTGCTATGGGTACAAATTTTCTTTTAATATATTGAAATAGCCACAATATTGAGAATGTTGAAGCTGCAAAACTTTAATAATGGGTATATCATTTATAATAAAAAATGTAAATGGAACATGCAACATGCAACATTTAACTGGGAAAAATTCCAAATGAGGGTATAAATTAATATTTCTGCATTGAAGATTTCTCACATTTGTCATTATTCTAACATTAATACTTAAATCTCAACAAATGCATATACATGCATATATGCATAAAATCCATATATGTATGGATGAAGCAAAAATATAAATGGAAATTGTGGTAAAGTACAGTACAAAAGCAATGTCAAAACCAAGCTAACAGTTCTTGCAAAACTACAAAAGAGTAATAATACTATTACTAATAATAGAGTGTCCTCCCTAAAAATCTGTTAATGCTGGATAATAGAAACAGATAACAGTGCTATTATCAAGGGGGTTGGCTTGATAACACATAATTTGCAGCTTTGTTAACAATGTGTTGCATCTTGAAACAAATGTTAATTTTGGACAGCAAAACTATCTTTTCCTGCCCTGACCAGAATGTGCAAAAAACAATAGTCATGTGCTAACTGTAATTAAGGTGTTACTTGGTAGAAGGAATACTTCTGTAACTGCCAAAGTACTTGTTAACTGAAATGTTATAAAATTATATGATAGCATTTCACTTATATTATTTGTTGGTGATTTGTTTGCTACAGCTTTTCCCCCATATAACCCCAAAAAGACCTCAAGAATGCTCTTCCGTCTCCATTTTCCTCTCCCTGAGTCACTTTCTTCTCACAGTCTGTGCAGTGGGTGTCCTTGCTCTTACGCAAGCCTGTGCTCTCGCCTGCTTGGGTCTGGTGTCTATCAAACCATCTGCCATATCTTCTCCACTCACACCACTATCTACTCATACACTTACATTGATCCATTAAGCTCTAAGTCTATAACATACAATGAAAGAAATATGACACTATACAAACATTTGACTTTTAAATTACTCATCAACCAAAAGATCATACAAACAGTGTAATAAAGTAATAAAGAGTACATAGTTGTGATGTCTGTGTGTAAACTGGTATCATAACTGAATGTTAAGTCTGACCTTGTTTTTTTTAGCACCACTGATGATGTTTCCAAGATCCTCCATGTCAACAACTGAACCTTTCCTCTCATCTTGTAGAGGAGACTCTTCATCATCACTGCTAGACTCAAAAAGATCCTGCTGAACACAAAAAAGTACAAAGAAGCATTGATTCATGAATTAGATTACAAGACTAAATATGGTAGAAGACCCATGAGCATGTAACAGTTGCAGAATTGTATTGCATTTGCCTGAAAAAATGTATGTTTCATTTGGATAACATAAAGGTCTGTAGAGTGGATACTTTTAAATAAAAATTTCTAAAATATCTAATGCCATTAATCTTTTCACAATAATTAGATACTATACTACTACTATATATGTCTCACTATCCATAATCAATTAGTCAATGAAAGTACTGTTTTATGAAAATACATACTAGCTTTAAATTGTTCCTTTGAGATTGCCTGTTTACCTCAGTGTTAATGGACTGGACAGCCTCTCCCTCCTCCTCATGGCCATGTTCATGCTTTGCCTTGTTCTTGCAGGAGCCTCCTTTCTTACAGTTTCCACTACAGGTCTTCTTGTCTCCTTTCACAAGTTTCTTCAGGCGATTCAAAAACTTTACTTTCCAGGCTGTAAAATCAGCCTGGATGCTTCCGTGCTTGCTGTTCACCACATTACAGTCACCCTCTCCCCTGGTCATTATTCGGCTGGCAGTTAACATCCACAACCACTTGTCAACATTTTTTCCCACCTATAAATGCAAATAAAATCAAAATGATGAAAACTGTGCCAATTTTTACTATGTGTACTAAGTAAAGGGACCTTACTGTGTTATAGTGACTAGTGTAGACTGAGTTCCCCAGCCCAAAAACTGCATATTTAAGCCCTTTCAGGTATGTTTTTCCATATCGGAAGTCAGTGGATGCCTCCTCCAGCCACTTGCAGAACCACTCAGCATTCTCTGTAGGCTGTCCATCAGTGTAAGTGGCCAAAAGAAACACGCAAACTGTTCTGTTAGTGCCCTAAAACAAAAATGAAAGCATGTTACGATTACTATTACTCACACAAGGGATCTTTGAGGGTACATTTTAGGACTAAACAATTTATAAAATGTTATGAAAATGAAATTCAGTCATTTCTTTAATAATCAATTATATGCTTGGGTTTTTGAATTGAGAGGTCCACAGTCAATGCTCAGAAAAAGCATGTGGTTTGGAGCAGGATTCCAACCTCAGGGAATATTTATACAGTAATATAACAAGTGTAGCAAACAAACCTCATCAGCAAGTTGGTCATCAGGATCATAATTTTTTAAATCAGTAATCTCACATGGTAAACCTGAGGCCTCAATTTCATCTGACAACTCTTGAGCAAAGCCCTGTAGAGACAGTATAAAATGAATATTTATATAAGCCTTTACTTTTCAGGTTCAGTCAACAAAGTAAATGTCAGAAATTGTTGACAACTTGTCTTTTCAGTCAGACCCTACAGAGAAAAAAAATTGTCTAGGCAGTTAAACACAAGCAGAAATGTATACATACAAAACATATTAACACATAAAACACAAACATTTTTTACTACAAAATGAGTGCATAAAAACTAAAGGCAGAAAATGTGCATACTTTAGCAGTTCCAGTTTGTGATCCAAAGAAGATTTTAACTCCAGACACATGGACGACTTTTTCTTTGTCGGAGTATCCACTGCTCTTCACAGGTTTGTGGGATAAGAAGTTTGTGCCACTAGAAATACTTCTCTACAGGACAAAGAAAGGAAGGAAGGAAAGAAGGAAAAAATGCTTGTCAACAAAACTGATCTGAATCAGCGATTGCGTAGTTTACATTGTCTACATAAACCAAATACTACTGGACCTTTTTTAATGCCATCTTCACTGAGAACCAGATGCCAAAGAGCAGAGCACCTGCAGAATACAGGTACAGTCTGCTGTGCCATATTGAAGTTATGAAAGACAGAACAGGACTGTGGGACTCTACAGCACAGGAGTAAAACAAATACAAATCATGTTAATTAAAAGCTGTTTTAACATTTCTGGCAATAGCGTTTGGCAATAAAAGGAGAAACATACAGCACAATTCACAAAGTAGAAAGATAATCAGTGACCTGACCCTTCTAGCTGTGGTAGCTGCGTTCAAAAAATAAACCAAAAACAACTACCTTTTACAGAGTATCATATTCAGATTGCTTTACCTTTGTCTTCCGAAGCACACACAACACTTGACAAAAGCGAAAAAATAATTACTAACATTTGCATAACCCTAAAAGTGAAATAGGAAAACATTTTAGGCTTTACTAGTCCATGTACTGGGTGAAACCATGTTGTTTGAGCGAAAGGAATGCTGGGAAATGTAGTTACAGCGATTTAGACGTACATTTTGTGCTGGATTAACAATTTGTACATTATAAAAGTGTATTTATTATATATAACACAAATGTTGAGCCCAATTAAACACTAAGAAAGTTTCAATCGTCATATTAAAAAAAATATATATATATATGGGCGGAACTAACTATAGCCTCTGTTGTTCCGTAAAGGACACATATCATCAACGGACTCGTTTCATGCTGCGCACTTGGTACCTGTAATGAAGAGATAAAAACAGTGCATTTTAATTATTATTTTTTCTATTACTAGACATAATCATGTCTATATTTACGCCAACAAATCAAATACGACTTACCAATGTAGCCGTGGTACGGATGAAAAAGGGCGGTAAGCGATTTGAGATCGCCTGTTACAAAAACAAAGTTATGAGCTGGAGATCAGGCGCGTAAGTACGATTGTAAAAAATAAAAAAAAAAATATATATATAGAGAGAGAGAGAGAGAGATTTATTTTATTGTGTCTGTACAAATACAATTGTTAAAATACAACACCTTTCGAGATAACACATTATTCTTTACAGATAAACTAATTCTGCACTTGTCTGTTGTTTTTGTAGAGAGAAAGATCTGGATGAGGTTTTGCAAACACACTCTGTCTTCGTGAATGTGTCAAAGGGTCAGGTGGCCAAGAAGGATGATTTAACCAAGGCTTTTGGGACAGATGATCTGACAGAAATCTGCAAACAGGTTCTATTCTTTTGCCTATTTAAATGTCATCCCAATGAGTACCATGTCTAATCTATATCCTTTCCATAAATAGATATTAGCCAAAGGTGAGCTTCAGGTGTCAGACAAAGAAAGACAAACTCAATTGGAGACAATGTTCAGAGACATTGCAACTATTGTGGCTGAAAAATGTGTTAACCCTGAGACCAAAAGGCCATACACCGTCAGTCTTATTGAAAGGGCTATGAAAGACATCCACTACTCTGTCAAAGCCAACAAAAGCACTAAGCAGCAGGTAAGGCAAGCATTTTTTCTTAATGGGAGTGCAATGAGTGACAACAGCTCACTCTTGTTTAGCCAAAATTGTGTTTTGTCTCTTCTGTCCTCATCTCATTATGTATTACTAATTGTTATCATATTTCTGCTAATATGTAAAGGCACTAGAAGTCATTCGACAGTTGAAGGAGACCATGGAGATACAGAGAGCCCACATGAGACTGCGGTTGGTGCTCCCGGCAAAAGAGGCCAAGAGACTAAAAGAAAAGCTTAAAACACTGCTGCAGGTTGTGGAAAGTGAAGATTTTGATGAGGAGCTGGAAATGGTTTGCTATTTTTGTTTAAATGTTGTTTAAATCTGTTGTTTTAATGGCTAAGGTAACATTCAAATCTTTGTAATACTGATTTATTGGACAGGTTGTTCTGGTGGATCCTGGCTGTTATAGGGAAATTGATGAGCTGATTCGCTGTGAGACCAAAGGCAGAGGTTCCCTGGAAGTCCTCAGTCTGAAGGATGTGGAGGAAGGCGATGAGAAACTATAGCTGTTTGGACTCCAGTTAGTATGCACTTACATGTTCTCTGTATCACACTTTATACAAGAAATGAATCTCATATTGATTTTGAACCATATTTTATATTATGCTACATAACACAACTGAGGATGCATTTAAAGCAAATATTAATGACATCTAATACTTTAATTAGGTGTGCATGTATTCATCATAGCATCAGTGATAAAAAGTTAGAAGATTTAAATACATACACACAAAATGGTGATTACAGTGGTGTAACTGCTACCTTCATATAAAAAAACAGCTACATCTTAACAACACCTAATAACCTAATAAAAATTGTTTATTTAAAACAGCAAAACTCATAAAATAAGAAGTGCATTACATTTGTCTTTAGTAAAACACATAATTTAAAAGGGTAAAAAATAAATGTATTTAATTGTTGTTCTCTCAAATAAATTATATCTTGTATACATCATGCCACCATCCCATTCAAGTCTGAATTTTTTTCTTTTCATTCAGCATATGTCTATGGGGCTGTGTCTGAAGTGCACTTAGACTGCAGAGTTAAAACAAAACGAAAAGGAAAAAGTTCTAGCTACATATCACCATCACATACCACCACACTAAATAACATGCATTTTCTTAAGACGGGGTTTCCTTCTGCATGATCCAACGGGTGCATAGATTACTAGTTCCTTTTAAAATGGTTAAAGCCCTTCACACTGGTCCTGCCCCGCGTTGCAGTTGGCTATTAGTGAATGTGGCCCGGTTGATTCTGCTCAGGGGGTGATTGGACTCCTCCTCATGAGGGGGAGCGGTGGCGACTTCGGTGTGCTCTCCTTGGCTCTGAGTTGTTGGACACCTCGTGGTGAGAAACACTCCCCCCACTGTCATCAAAACAAATGAGATCCAGCCCAAGTACAACGCAGGCCCCCAGTCTCTTCTCAAGTGTGTAGCCCCCTCTAGTGACTGACTGGTGTGATGACACGTCCATGCTGTGGGAACCAATAGCAGAATTCCAGACAAAACAAAAACGGCACCGGAAAATACTTTAATCTGGTTACGGTGAGGAAACCACACCGCCCCCACCGCACTGATGACCACAGCAAAACCACCTGCTACAATTCCTGCTGTGATAAGAGATCTCCAAGTTCGGAAATTTCCAGAAAGAGACATAAGAGTTTGGTAGAATGAGCAGTGCAGGCTTCCATCGTGAGCCAGGTCCCAGTGATCCCACTGCAGCCACACCCCGTCCCAGTAGGCAGGCAGAGAGGCTGTAGTGTTGTCCACAGTGCCACTCACGTTCCACAGGGCCAAGCAGCGGGTCAGGATGGCACAGATCCACCCCAGAAAGGCCAAGGCGAGGGCACCAAGCTCCAACTGCCTCAGCATGACTACAGTAACTGGCCTTCTCCTCAGCTCAGGCCCCACTGCCTAACCGCGAACAGCTGGTAGCGCAGTGCTCCAGGCCGAGTTGTTGTTTGTACATGTGCAGCGAGGGTGAGGCTCAGTCAGACCATGGAGGTGTGTGTCACTGGGGCATTTGCATTGCGGTTCATAATGGAGAAACTGGTTCTTTGGTATTTGTGGAAAACTGAGAGCTTTATCTGGGTGGAGGAGGGAAATCCTAGTGTTTGCTCTGCCATGGTTTCAAAACAATCTCTCTGTTCGAGTTTGTAGTTGGACAAAGCTCCTTCTGTGCTGCCTGTTTATAAGTCACTGCTTATATTACTCCAGCTGGTTAAAGAGAAATTACTGTCAGTAATGAATTTGGGCTGCCACAAAAAATAATACAGCATATCTGTCTGTCTATCTATGAATGTATTAAAACTAATTAATAACAATTGTATTCATTTAATATATTTTATTTTAAATCACAGTTCTTTGAAAAACTACAAAACACTACATTGCATAACTTCCACACATAGTATAAGCATTTTATACTAAACATCAGCACTGCACAAACTGTCCATGATGGGATTAAGAAAAGTATAAATTATGTCTGTTGATTTTTCAGTCTTGTTTGAAGCTTTGTTGCTTTTCATTTACAACGTATTCACATTTTATATCTCAGATAGACTAACAATGATATGATCAACACTGACAAAGCATTACATTCCATATATCCAGTTCCTCATACATAGTTCTTGATGGCATAGCTGCTTTGTGTGGTGGGTGCTCCTGGACAGTGTGTATCTAGTGGAGGGGAACTTGGCTCTCTGAGGTGAGCAAGTAATGCATAGTATAAGTCCCCCTACAAAAAGCAGGCCAGATGTTACAAAGCCACAGTAAATTGCTGCCCCCAACTCTTTTTTGAGCACTTCCGGGACACGTGGATTGTAGAAGTCATTGATGATTGAATTGGCAGTCCATGCCACAGCTACAACAGTGGTAAGAGATGACAGACAGAAAATGAATCCCGAACTTATCACCACTCTCTGTTTTGCCCTCGGATGGCTCAGACAGTTAGTGCAGCGGGCGCCCAATAGAAATATAAGGAAACCCAGGCAACCCAGGAATAGACTGATGCAGATGAGGCCCCGGGCTGCTTGTAAGTCTGGAGACAAATCTAAGATGGCATCATAGAGCTTACACTGCAGCTGTCCGGTGTATTCGCTCACACAGGTCATCCATAGCCCCTCCCAAAACACCTGCATGACCACCAGGTGTGTTCCAATGAAAGCAGTCACCTTCCACATGGGTAAGGCGCATATCAGGATGATCCCCGCCACGCCTGCCATAGACACACTGATGCCCAGCTCCTGCATACCCCCCATGGGACTTTACGACAGCTGTAATCTGCAATAAACACAAATGGAACATTCAGTTACAGAAGGACAACAATGAATAATAATGCATTAGATTCATAAAGTGCCTTTTAAGACACCCAGTGCGGTGCACCCATAATACAGTGTATTACTGAAGTAGCAGTTATATTTATGAGTTCCTTTAATTGATTGGGTTCCAGTGTTATATACCAATGTCATTCCATTAAGTAAATGTCTTAAATAGACAAAACAGCTTAAACAGCTTACTGAACAGTTCAGTTTCGCGTATAGTTTCCAGTAAGTGACGTCATAATTCTTGCATTGAATGCCTGCCACCACTGGGAGGCACTATAGCTGTAGTTTTATCTGTGAGAAACTGACGACATCGCATCAGGCAAATGGTTCTCCATTGGTTTCTGTTAAAATTTTCCGATAGTCTGACAGAAAGGTATTTGAAAATAAAATGATGAGTCAAATGCCAGACTAAATACTGGAGGTACATTCATTTATCTTGCAGCTGAACTCACATATGTCTTCTTTGTCTTTTCAAAATAATAACTTTAACTAAAATAATAACTTTAAAAGACAACAGCAACTCATGCACCAATTAAGACCCAATTTTAGCATTTAAGATCCAATATCTTATTAAGTATTAATAAGGAAAAACAGCTACTTTAAGAGCACAAAACACTGACACTTGTTTTGGTTGTCTGTTGTATTTTCTACTGACTATTTAGCGATCAAACACAATTTAAACCTAAGGACAGTTTTGATTTAATGCATCAGTTACAGAGTGAATATGAGTCACTGCTTTGTTCCCTAGACAGAGATGTGTTACAGTAACTTGCCCAACAGGTTTACTTGAAGCTTGACTTACAAACAGCAGAGACTTCATTTCACTGTAAACAAGTTATAAAAAGTAGGTTACAAACCCCATGGTAGGCAAAGCATCAATAAAACTGAAAGTACATTTAAAAATAAGTCCATCCCCTTAAAAAAACATATAACATACAGTACATAGATAGCATGGCACAACTCCTACAACCCAGCTTTTAAGTTATAGGAACCATCTTACTTCATTTCTTATTATTTATTTATTTACAAACTATTATTTATAGTTATAAAAAGATTTTTTTTAAAGTATCTCAATTTGTCAGTGCTAATACTGTAGCTGTAAATCTACATATTTTTTCACATAATTGCTAGACAGGTATTCTTAAAGCAAGAGTCTGTTTCCTTCATTCCTTATCAGGAGTCATCTTTACAGGAGCAACTTATTTTTTCTTTAGACGTCTTCAGCAGTTACATTGAAAACTCAGATATAGGTCTTTGTTGGAGTGAGTGATCTGACAGAGTTTATCCTACTCTGTCCTGCTGTTGACTTGTTCAGCAGATATTTCACAGATGGGGCTTGATCATTGTCGCTCTTGGAGCAGTTTGCACATAGAAGAGCTCCTCCAAGAACCAAAAGTCCTCCTGCTCCCCAGCCAATATATAACGATGCTCCGAGCTCTCTCCTCTGCGCATCCACCACCACGGGGTTGTAGAAGTCCCTTATGATCATACTTGCTGTCCAGGAAACAGGAATGAGACAAAGAATTCCACTGATGATCAATATCACGCCAGCTGCAACAGTAGCCCTGGATTTTGCCCTTTCCTCTGGGATAAAGTTGGTACATTTACCCCCAACAAAGGCAATTAGAAGACCCACAATGCCTGTTATAATAGAGACCACAACCAAGGCTCGAGCTCCTTGGAGGTCAGTACCCAGAGCAAGCATGGAATCATACACTTTGCACTGCATCTGTCCTGTGCTTTGGACCACGCAGCTCATCCAGATGCCCTCCCAGATGGTCTGAGATGTCACAATGTTGTTGCCAATGAAAGCTGTTACTCGCCACATAGGAATTCCACACACAACAATCACTCCAATCCAGCCAAAAAGACCCAAAATGGCACCCAGCAACTGCATTCCCATCGAAGCCATCTCTGCAAAGTGAAGTTTTGAAGTTGTGCTCGAAAGCAAAGACAGGTCTATATGAGGTATTGAGATGCAGAAAGAATGGGAGGCGTGAAAGCAAAGTAATAAGAATACATTAGAATACCTGCCATGCCAGATTCTTTGTGCTCCAGAACAATAAAAGATGGAGTCCAAACTCTTTGACTAAGATTGAGTTCCATGGGTTTTTGTGCATAGTCTCCTGAGATTAGAAGATTATAATACAGTTCACTGGAAAGAAATAATAGCATTTAGAAAGGTCCTGTGTTATGCTACATAGATTCTTGTGAGTTTTAAGTCATGTTAGAATGCTGTTGCCTCATCAAAAACATGAGCTGTGTTTTGTTTCATTCACACATGTTTGAGTAACCCTGTATTATTGGACTGTCTACATCTCCAAATCTTCAAATTCTCTGTTCCACCTTGTGATGTCATGTAGTGGTAGTTTTCAAGTCAACAGCTACTTTTTACCTTTTGTTTAGTAAAGATAGGCAATTCCAGGGTTGAAATGATTTAAATGGTCTTGTAAAAGTGTATGGAGTTTAAAAAACACAGCCTAGCCCATGACATGAGGTGGAACAGAGTGTTTTCTATTTGAAAGAAGAATTCAGCCTAAATATGCAGGGTTTCTGTGATAAATATTTGTGAATGAAACAAAACACAATGATGAGGAAACAATATTATAACATAGATCAAAAAATTGCATAATATAGGTCCTTTAAATTTAAAAGCATTGTGAAATGAAAAAACAGTCCTCTGCATGTGGCCACTTTTAGCCTATTTTATTTTTAACCTTTGATGTCAGTACTGGGGTTGTTGTTAATCATTTATTGTTTGGTTATTTTATAGAGTTTTACATGAAATACAGGAAGCAACTGATATTATGTTCATGGAAAGTACATGATATGTGATGGACAGTGTTTGAGTCTGCATATTAGGATATTAAAGACAGGTGATATTCTAGGTAATTCTAGGAATTTTTACCCTCATATTGTTTTGACATAGCAGAGTGAAATGCTGATATGCAGTATTGTGTTCTGCAGACTTGACCATCGATTTGCCTTAGTGTTCTAATTTGCTGCAGATTTTTATACTACAGGGCAAGCTGTTCTAATTTGGTTTGGTTTAATGACAGTGGAATGTGATACTGGCTGAGGGTGTGTCTGTCATGTGCTGATGCTCTGTCACTGAAACGATTTGCCGACTGATACTTATCAATTACCAGGGGTAACTGAGATAGTTCTCAAAAGATATACAATACATATATTATGTATTTGTTATTCTCGTTAGAATGGAGTGTATCCATGTACCTGTGTGTGTTTTGTCTGTTTCAAAACATCTTCAATTTGATGGCAAATTAAATTGGAAATGTGACTTGTTATGACACATTATTTAACTGAGCTTTTCTGCACCAAACATTCTCATCTGCGGTGGCTGGAACCTTTTCTACACCTGAAAACTTTCAGCAGCCACTGTTTCACTGAGACCAGTGCTCTGTCAAACCTGCTGAGCTGGTTTGTCTGCCTTGAAAGTGCATAGCAATCAATTCATTGTTTTTACAGGCTTGTACTTTTTCTTATTCCTTCCCACATGCTTAAGAATTACTTGTCTTGTTGATTTATTTTATTATTTATTTATTTACTTAATTTTATTATTAATTGCCTAAACTAAGGGGGGAAACAATGTGTTTTCACATTAGAACTCCCCATTAAAATGATCAGTTCAAAGAGTATTTAAAATAAAAGCAGTGTTTTTATTAACTAAGAGTAATACTAATTACAATACAGTAAATATACATCAGTTTGAATAATAATGTACAAATTCTCATTTTAGTGACAGCACATCTAATCTCCATATACAAAAACAACATATAAAACTGCTCTCTATAAGTCCATCCTCAAACTGCTACCGGAAGAACACTCCATTTTTAGCAGCAAAACTTCAAGACCACAAGATTTTGACCATGAATAAATGGGTTCAATCAATGACTTGGTTTTCACCATATAAAAGCTTAAAAATAAGTTAGTCCTTGTGGAGAGGCCTGCTCTTAGACATAGGCCCGGCTGTCTGTAGACCTGGCTCCTGAATACTTGACTGGGTACTCAGGGGCGTCATTGCGGTGAGGACAGGAGCTGCAAAGGAGAGCCCCTCCCAGCAGCAGCAGAGCAGCTGTGCCCCAGCCTATGTAGAGGGCAGCCCCTAGCTCCCTCCTCTGAGCGTTGGTCATGATGGGGTTGTAGAAGTCACGGATGATGGTGTTGGCGGACCAGCAGACGGGAATCAGGACCAGCACTCCAGCCACAATGAACACAATCCCAGCAGCAATGGCCACTCGAGCTTTGGCTCTTTCGTCCTCCACAAAGTTGGTGCACTTTCCTCCAGCAATGCCCAGTAAGACTCCGAAAGCAGCAACAATGATGGCAATGACAATAAGAGCTCGGGCAGCCTGCAGGTCCTGGGGCAGTGCCAGCAGAGAGTCGTAGATTTTACACTGCATCTGCCCTGTGCTCTGCATCACACAGTTCATCCAGAGGCCCTCCCAGATCACTTGTGCAGTCACAATGTTGGCCCCAATGAAGGCAGTCACCTTCCACATGGGGAGAGCACACACAATGATGGTTCCCAAGAAGCCTATGATGGCCAGGGCAAAGCCCAGCATCTGACGTCCCATTGACACCATACTGGTCCTGGTGGAAGATCCTTAGTGACTGAGTAAAACAAAGAAGTTAAGTGTTGCTCGGATGCCTAGACGAATGAATTCTTGACTTTGAGTGCGTCTTTATTAAAGGTGGAGTTAGAAAGCCCATCCCTCTGACCTGAAACCTGCAACGACTGAATGACCAAGCTGCCAGACAAGATTCTTCACATGATTTGACAAAATGCAGTTTCGATGAGATGCGCATCACTCAGCATGGCTATGGATATGTAAATGATGCTCATAAAGAGCCTTACAGTCCTTGCTCAAATGCTTACTTTTGATTGGACAGTTGCCAGGAGGCCCAGTCCTAGCTCAAGTTTCATGAAAAAATAAAATATTGATCTAAAAGTAAAACTACGATTGGCCAATGAGGGATATTGTTAATGTTTGAAACACAGTTTCTAATAACTATCCTGTATCCAAAGCTTACATTTTAAGTCAAACAATCTCACTTTGAAACTTGCAAATGCTTGTGTTACTCAAATTAAATTTTAAGTCAGTCAAAATGTATATAATAATTTACCTTTTTTCATAATTTCCAATCCTATTATCCTGCTATCCCATTATTTCAACATTTTTGTTTACTAATTTATTATTTATTTACGAACTTTTAATGCATTGCTTACATGCACAAGACAATTTGTAATTTTCTAAAGGGAAAATGGCTCAGTGGCTCAGCTCATCTCCTCACTCACTCACTCTTGCACTTTTCGAAAGCATGTTTTATTGTGAATATTTTCCTCCCCTTCTTTCTAAATGAAAATAAAAATGCATGTTCATGCATGTAAAAAATAAATAAATAAAACAAAACCATCTTTAAAATTAATAATTTTTAGCCAGAGGCTTGCCTTAAATGCAGATAATAATTTTAAATTTTAGTTGCACACTCGCTGAAGCAGTACAATATAATACATTTTATTACATGTTTTTGTACAGCATGTAAAATGATAAACTAAAAAAATCATCAGTATATACAAAAGATGCGCAATACAGAGATTATATACAACTTTGGATTTTATAGTAAAAACTTTAATTTAATTACATGAGTACTGCAGTGCTATTAAGTAATTACTGAACAGGGAATTTCCAGAAGGAGAAATTACTATTTTAGGTATTTCTGTTTCTGTTATACTTTCCCTATTTACAGTGCAAATATCTGATTTATTCTGGCTACAAAATATTCTTGGTTACACAAAAAGAGAGGTTTTTAACATTTTCCTTCTTTTCTTCTAGAAAAAAAAATGATTACAAAAGATGGTCTTTTTCACAGTAATACAGCCTCTGACCATGCCGGTCATGTACACAAAAAGTCCCTTAAAAGTCTTTCATAGTTCATTTTTAGATGTACTGTCCACCAGAGTAAGCTGAGGGTGCTGCATAGGGCTTACTGGGCACATAAGATCCACTGTATGGCTGGCTCACTGGAGTGTAGACTGGCCTGTACCCTCCCTGGTTTGGTGGCGCTGTGTATGGGTATACTCCAGGTTGTGGTGGGTAACCCGGGTAACCATAGAATGACCTTTGAGGAGGACATGAAGTTGTGAGGATGATTCCCCCAATAAGAAGAAAAGCTGCAGAAGCCCAGCCAATGTAAATAGATGCTCCAATCTCCCTCTTCTGTGTTTCTATGGTCAGAGGATTTTGATAGTCCGTGATGGTATAGGCAGCTGACCAGCACACAGGGATCAAATCCAAAACAGCAGCTAAGATTATGAGGCAACCTGATATAATGACAACGTTAGCCATGGACGCTTCCTTCTTCAAACAGCTCGTACATTTGGCACCGAGGAATGAAATCATGAATCCAATGAATCCAACCACCAAGGAGATGATTATGAGAGCTCGTGCTGCTTGAAGGTCTCTGCTCATTTTCATCAGGGATTCGTTGAGCTTGCACTGCATCTGTCCAGTACTCTGCATCACACAGTTCATCCACAGGCCATCCCACACGATTTGCCCCGTCACAATGTTGGCCCCGATGTAAGAAGTCACCCTCCACATGGGCACCCCACAGGTTACAGACACCCCGACCAGGCCAATGAAGCTGAGGACTTGGCCTGCTACCTCCTTCCCTACTCTCCCCATCTTGGCTCTGTGTGTCTGGCTGGAGAGCTCAGAGCCAAAATAACACCCAGCTGGGGAGTTACTTGTTGTTTGTGAGTGTTGCACTACAGGATGTCCCCTGGTCTGACTAGTTACTCTGGACTGACAAGATTCTTGTTGTGTGAGTTGGAGGAGTGGCAGAGCTTTTAAACCAAATCGGTCTTTTTCTTGTGCAGATTGACAAGCACCATGCAATAATGAGAGGGATCTGAGGTCTGTATCAGGTTGAAAGACACTGAAACTAGTGGCCAATAGTCTGTTAATGAGTATCTACAGCTCTTGATCAATTGGTATATTTACTAGAGAACCATAATGATTAACATACATGTCAAAGTATTAAATGCAGTGTTCAAGATATCCACTGGCTTAAATGTCATAAATCAAAGCTGTCCTAAATAGCTCTAAATTGGTGAGATTATCTATTAGACTTGTAGAAAACTGCAGTCACAAAATACATTTGCTTTTAAAGTTACACCACTCATAGAAATTAAGTAAATATTAGGGCTTTAATTGACTAAAGAAATTCCTGGTCAGTTATACATATCCTGCCAGTCTATTAGTTGACTAAAAACGAATAGGAGCGGGGCAAAAACTTTTAATACAAAAAAAGAGATAGAGAGAGATAATTTATTGATGTAGGGAGAAATTCAAGTTTTGCTGCGCAAATTGTGGCAGTACAAGGAAACAAAGTAGTTATAATAATAACAATACTGCAATAATCTTGTACAGTTTTTTCCACTGGAATTCCCATGAGTCTCCTGTCCAAGTACTAACCAGGTACTGCCCTGCTTATCTTAAGAGGTCTGATGAGATCAGGCTTTAATAACACTTAATCTATTCATTATATTACAGAAACAAGCTTTGTGAATTATCCATAAAGTTGGATTTTTAGAACACATCCATAGTCTTTTTATGCAACCCAAGCTCCTAAAGATTCCTGACCTTGTAAAATATTCTACACTAGTAATTTTATTTAGAGCATTCAACAATTTACTACCAAGTAATCTACAAAGCCCGTTCAAAATGATAGAGAGAGATGATCATTTTTCAAATTTCTAATTTTAAATTGCCCAATGGTCGAACTATGCCTGTAAAAGTTTCTGTGTGTCTATATGTGGTGTAAAACTCTGGAACAGTCTGGATACACATCTCAAGCAATGCCAAAATATCCATAAATTCAAGCTGTTATATAAACATACGGTCTGGTCACAGTATATATAGAGAGGGTCTTAATATTAGAATAACACCGGCAGTGTTAGTAGTGCTGTTTTATGCTTGTTGTTTCCTTACCATTGCTGGTATGTGATGTCCATTAGCATTACTTGTATCTGCTGTCTGTTACCATTGTTGGTTTCCTTATGTATTGTTATGTTACCAAACTATAACAGTGACTCTTTGTTCGCACTTGTAAATAGTTCATATAGTTTAATGTAAAAAGTCTAAAAAATGTGAAAAAAAAGATCATTGTATTAAAGAGGAGGGGGTTGGGGTTAAATACATTTTCTTCTTCCCTCTCCTTTTTGGGCAAATTTTTTGTAGTTTTTTTGCTATGATTTCACTAATGCTACATGTTCCGTTGTAAATATATATATATATATATATATATATATATATATATATATATATATATATATATATATATATATATATATATATATATATATATATATATATATATATATATAGGGGTGTCAAATTATCGCGTTAATTGCGATTAATTAATTACAGTCATATTTAGCGCGTTATGTTTTTTAATCGCGTTAATCTCATTTTTAATCTCTAACTTTAGTGTTTCTGTATGCGAGTTGCTTTATTATAAAACCTGTTTTTATGTGTTGTTGGGACAACAGCACACACACACACACACACACACACAAACACATTTACACATTTTTTTATTTCGGTAATTCTACTCATTGCCGGAAACCCACAAAAAACGCGCGCAGTAACAGCGATGTAAACGTCACGTTAACGTTGGCGGCGTCAGGACGAGGTCGTAGAGCCAGTAGAACAGAGTCAGCAGTGCACAGGTAAAAACGCATTCGTGTCTTGGAAATTCTTCTCCCGACGTGAAATATAAAAGAAAATAACAAATATAATATCGCCTACAACTTAAATGTCACTGGTGAAAACAACCTGCATAGGCTCATGATGTCTGCACTACTGTCCTATAGTGACCTGCCACATGAGGGGACACGCACACAAACACACACACACAAACACACACAAACACACACCTTCATCATCGTCATTAACCTGAGAACGCGCGGACCACGTTTCCTTCTGTAGTTACTGTGTGGACACCGACGTGCTCCCGTGCGCCGCGTGTGGATCGTGTTTTCTCGCGTACGCTGAGTAAACCGCGCTTCCTCCTGTGCGCCTCTAAACCAGAACTAACACCAAGACTAAAACCAGGACTAACCCAGTCCAGGACTAAACCAGGACTAAACCAGAACTAAAACCAGAACTAAAACCAGGTCTAAACCAGGTCTAAACCAGGACTAAACCAGGACTAAACCAGAACTAAAACCAGAACTAAAACCAGGTCTAAACCAGGACTAAACCAGGACTAAACCAGGATTAAACCAGAACTAAAACCAGGTCTAAACCAGGACTAAACCAGAACTAACACCAGGACTAAAACAGGATTATCCATTCCAGGACTAAACTAGGATTAAAGCAGGTCTAAACCAGGACTAAAACAAGGATTAAAACCAGTGATCTCATATATAAAGCATTTCTCTATCAATAATATTTTTAATATGGTTAAGGAAAGACTGGACTTTTTATTGTCTTTAAGTAGACAAAAGTTATCATGTTCAGATTTCCTCGTCTTTGCTACTTTACAGCAAACAATTTCTTATTCATGGAGACTTGGGCTCAACAGACAATTTGGAGAGATTTGTTAAACAATAAATGACTTTATAAAGTCACTTTTTTAAAAATCTATATCAGTCTTTTGATCTGCCACAATAATGTAATAATGAATTTAAATGAAAATACCTCAAATTGAAGGCTTTTCTCAGCAATTTTTAGGTGAGATTAAAATGAGATTAATTAGATTAATTAATTACAGATCATAATTAATTAATCTCTCATTTTTTTTAATCGCATGACAGCACTAATATATATATATATATATATATATATATATATATATATATATATATATATATATATATATATATATATATATATATATATATATACACACATATATGTATGTATGTATGTATTCCCCTACAGATTAAGGTAGGAGTAATGTAATCTGAATACTTTGCATTGCTTGATATTGTCATGCTTTTTAAAACTACATGAATGTAGCAACCACATACTGCAAATTCTTGTCTGTTCTTTTCAAATTGGCTGTTGAGCCCAAGTCTCCATGAATAAGCAACTGTTTGCTGTAAAGTAGCAAAGACTAGGAAATCTTAACCTTAGATGTTTTGTCTGTTTAAAGACAATAAAAAGCCCAGTCTTTCCTTCTTTAAAATATTATTGATAGAGAAATGCTTTCTATATGAGATCACTGGTTTTAGTCCTGGTTTTAGTCCTGGTATTAGTCCTGGTTTTAGTCCTGGTTTAGTCCTGGTTTAGACCTGGTTTAGTCCTGGTCTAATCCTGGACTGGGTTAGCCCCGGTTTTAGTCCTGGTGTTAGTTCTGGTTTAGAGGCGCACAGGAGGGAGCGCGGTCTACTCAGCGTACATGAGAAAACACGGTCCACAGGCAGCGTGCAGGAGGACGTCGGTGTCGGCGCAGTATCTATGGTAGGAGAAGTGGTCCGCGCATTCTCAGGTTGATGACGATGATGAAGGTGTGTGTTTGTGTGTGTGTGTTTGTGTGCGCGTCCCCTCATGGGCCAGGTCACTACAGGACAGTAGTGCAGATATCATGAATTTATGCAGGTGTTTTTCACCAGTGCCAGTAGCGCCAGTTTGACATTTAAGTTGTAGGCGATTTTATATTTATTATTTTCTTTTATATCTCATGTCGGGAGAAGAATTTCCAAGACATGAATGCATTTTTACCTGTGGGCCCGGTCAAGCAGAAGTATACAGCGAGGCCAAAAATTCAAGTTAATGCATCTGATATAAAAATGTATTCAACAGATAGCATATGTACTCTAGTTTATGAAACTGTTTACCTTTTTTCTGTACCATTTTTGGTTCTAAAGTTACATACGTTTTAAACAGACCATGTATGCAATATGGAACAAAAATTATTTCCCAAATTTCAAAGACCTGCAAATCATGTTAATAAACTGATGTATTTCATCATATCTCGTGTTATTCGATCTTTGAACTGTTGATGAAGGTACATGATTTGAAATGTATTTAAAATGATAAAAATTAGCTTGGAAGGACTGACATATTTTATAGAAATAGTTACCTTTCATTTTGAAGTAATATTAAAGTATTCGGAAGAAAAAAGCTGAAAAATTATGCAAAATCATGCACCTTCTACTTGCTTGCACAATTTCCCCTCCGTTACTTTTCCCTTTCTTAATTAAAAATCTCATTACTCAAAAAGTAAGAGGTTTTTCAACCTAATCTTGTACCATATGGTAGAAAACTATATGAAGCAAATATTCAAACCAGTTTGTTAAGGATATGTAAGTGAGAACCGCTAGTTATCGCTGTTTATATTTATTGCCCAAAAAGTGCTGCATATTTCATTCCCTCCGTTACCGATTTTTTGTCAACAACTTGAGAGAATATCGCAGGTTTAACTTTACCCTGTTGGATTGTTAACTCTTTCCTACATTCTGATACCTTACTTATTTCAATAGTCCCTCTAGTTTCTGAATAAGAGCTATTTGAATGTAAAAAATCTGCCCCTGTTTCCCTCCGTTACTGCTTGATCGATCGGACCCCTGTGAACTGTTGGCTCTGTTCTACTGGCTCTTCGACCTCGTCCATTGTGTGACTGACGCCATGAAAGTTAACAAGACATTTACATCGCTCTTAGTGCCGCGTTCTGTTTGGGTTTCCGGCAATGAGTGGAATTACCGAATAAATAAATAAATAAATGAGATGTAGCACAAAATGTGAAAACAGGAAAATACTGCCTTGTAATCCATTTATTTCAGCAAAGTAACTGTAATCCAATTACCACTCACGTAACTCACTCACTAACTTGTCTATTCTGCTGTTGTCCCATATAAATCCTTTTAATCTCAATAAAATGATAAGTTGTTTTAACACTGTTAAACACAAACATGTAACATGATACTATTGACTGGTTTGATACAGGAAATTCAGCTCGTCTTCAGAAAAAGAATGCCATGCAGTTTGGTGAGAAAATAATTTATTTACAATAAAAGCACATTGTCTGAAAATGCTAAGAAGAAAAGTAGTGTATTAACTTTTAAGAAATAATTGTTTGAATGATGTAGTCCACAGCAACAGTAACAACATTGCACAGAAATGGAATGTTAAAATATTTATACTACGCCTTTAAAGTTTTACAATATACGGTGATGTACACTTTTAATAAAATAGCATGGTTTATATTTCCCTTGATTTAGAGTTTTCTACACAGTTCAAATTGGTCTTATTTAGGTAGCTGCTCCCTGCTTTCTTTCGAACAAGGATGAAGGCTACAACTCAAAAGAATAAAAATCAGCCAGGCCACTCCCCCATGCCTTATCCTACACATATTCCCTTTGTGAGGAGGCTGACTTGACAGGAGTGAATTTAGGGCCATAGTTGGGGTATTGTTCTTTGGGAGGGCAGTTCCAGCACATGAGTCCTCCTCCCATGAGCAGTAGGGCAGCAGCAGCCCAGCCGATGTACAGGGAGGCTCCAAGCTCATACCTCTGGGTCTCCAGCAGCATGGGATTGTAGAAGTTATGGACAATGGTGTTGGCAGTCCAGGATACAGGGATGAGACAGAGTAGCCCTGATACAATAAACAGGACTCCAGACAGGATGCATGTCTTGGCCTTGGCTCGCTCCTCTTCAATGCAGTTGGTGCATTTGGCACCTGCAATGCCCAGAATGACTCCCACTATCCCGGCCAGGATGGAGATGATGACCATAGCTCGAGCAGCCTGCAGGTCCTGGGGCAGTGCCAGCATGGAGTCATAAACCTTACACTGCATCTGCCCTGTGCTCTGCACCACACAGTTCATCCACATGCCCTGCCAGATGGTCTGAGCCGTAATGATGTTGGCCCCGATGAAAGCAGTTACCTTCCACATGGGCAGAGCACACACCACCACCACCATCAGCCACCCAATAACAGACATGCAGATGCCAATCATCTGAATCCCCTGGGATACCATCCTGCTGCCTTCTCCACACAGACCCCAAAAGAAGAAAAAAACAAAGAGCTGCCACTGACGGTGTATTTATAGAGTGTTGTGTGACAAGCAGTGCCAAAAACATGAGGGCAGCGTTTCTCAGCCTCCATTGGCCAAAAGCAGTTTACCAACAAACAGACCAACTGACCTTTAGTGCTGACTGTGCAATATACAGGCTCAAGGTTAGACCCAATGGCTAAACATTTAAAGATTTATTATTTATAGTGTATACATTTATTAAATTAACGTTAAAGTTAACACTTAGAGAGCTTTTTTGCAAAATAATACAATAATACATTTTAAGTGGTATTGCATGGAACAGAAATGTAAAAGTGCTCTGAATAGGCTTTCATAGGAAAACAATGCCATTGGGTAGTTAATGGTTTTTCTTTCTATTTCACTACTAAGACACTACACTATCCTTTGTAACTACTCATGAGATTAAAAATAACTGTAATTGTGTGAACATGTATTCTACATAAAAGTGTGTAGATGTATAGAAGTAGCCTATGAACGTGGCAAACTACTATACTACTACTATATGTACGATTTTGACCAGTTGCTACAAAACTGTATTTTATAAACATGAATATTAAATATTTTATTAAGAAAAATATGCACAGTATTCTATAAAAAACATGGCAAATTCAAAAATATTTCAATTAAACATTTATTTACAGCACAAATTGCTGACAATGGACATAATATAAATGACTGAAAAAGACATAAAACATTTTCAATAGTAGGCTATGCATTTGAAGTCCCTTCTCCATCCAGTTACATCTGGGTGTGGCACTTCCCTTTTTTTTTTGCAGTGTTACTGTTTCAAATAAATGATGAAATTAAAATGGTACACATAAAATATTTCCAGGAGCAGACTATATACATCAAGTCTTTGTAAAAAAAAGAATTCTTTTCCTCACACATAGTCCTTGGGAGCAGTGGCTCGAGAGGCAGTGTATTTGGCAGAGTTATAGTTATCCTTGGGAGGGCAGTTTGCACAGAGAATCCCCCCACCAATGAGGAGTAGAGCAGAGGCGCCCCAGCCAATGAAGAGGGCGGCTCCGAGCTCTTTCTTCTGAGAGTTCATCAGCATGGGGTTGTAGAATTCTCTGACCACAGTGTTGGCCGTCCAGCACACGGGCACCAGGCACAGGATCCCACTGATGATGAAGATGACTCCTGCTGCCACACACACTTTGGCCTTAGCTGCCTCATCCTCCACACAGTTGGTGCACTTCCCTCCAGCGATGGCCAGGAAAATCCCAAAAATGCCCACCAAAATGGAGATGATGATAAGAGCTCGGGCAGCCTGTAGGTCCTGCCCCAGAGCCAGCATGGAGTCATACACCTTACACTGCATCTGCCCCGTGCTCTGCACCACACATGTCATCCAGATGCCCTCCCATGTCGTTTGAGCAGTCACTATGTTCTGTCCAACGAAGGCAGTCACTCTCCATTGAGGTATAGCACATACTATGATGACTCCAATCCATCCAATAATGGCCAGGGCAATGCCCATAATCTGAAAGCCAGCAGCCACCATCTTTTTGTTCAGTGGTAAAATGTCCTAGAGTGTTAGCAAAGTTTGTTCTTCAGAAGTCCAGGTACAATGTGCAGGTAAGTTTGGAGTGGGTCTTTTATACTCTTAAATGGGGTTGGGCTCAAACATTGTCATATAAAGTTGTGACGTGATGCAAGTCCCCCCCTTATTCCCAGGTGCGACATGCTTCATCATGTCAACCAGGTTTTTTCGTTAAGTGCATGACATACTCTTGAGTCAAGTTTGGCCACACCTTCAGATTTTTTTATGTTTTCCTCTTGTTTTGAAACGTGTTAATGGTTAAGAAAATTTCTAAAATATACATTTGCCCATGTCAAGATGAAAGGTCTAAAGCAAACAGTACACAATAAGTAAAGCAACATTTTGACAGCTTCCATTAATAATTAGCACTAATTTACTATTTATACAACACTGTATGTATAACTTATCATACACCAATATGTACATGTTACAAAAGAATCAGATTTAGAAAGCTACTTTACAGCAAAAAAGCTGCAGAAGTATAAATTCTAAAGAACCTTTATTATGATTCTGTACCAGGTTTTGAGCTATGAATGTCTTATTCTAGAAAGACATGTTTTATCCTTACATGAGTTTAGCTATGGACTAGTTAAATGTACTTTTGCTTGACATACTAACTGTAACTTGGTGGGAAGATGTTTTTTTAAGTTGAAGTTCCTGTGTTAGTGTGTCCAAACAGAGCTCCATTCTGTATAATCCTTTACACACTTCAGGGCAGAGATCTGGACATAATCAGTGCTGAAGTTATGGTTCTAATCTTTTTGAGTATGATTTGAAGACATAAAACAACCTCAGCAAATTTCACAGTCACAAAACAGTCAATAAATTATGGAAGCCTATTTCAGCCAGTAAATAAAAAATAAAAGCCTTACAGTACTATTAAATTTCCCTTTGCTAAGTTAATATGCATAACCAAAGTAGTTTAAGTCATAAAAATATATTAATTAAGAAAGATAGGTAAGAAAATCAGTATATTTAAGTCAAAATAACATGTTAAGCTTTGCACTGCACACACAGACCACAAACGTACTACAACAATACACACAGATACAGTATATTTCAGATATGCTTCATGAGAAAAGCAAGTGTAAAATTTTGCCTACCTTGTGGCTGTTCTTGGGTCTGAAGCAGTGAAAGTGTCCCCCATAAGCTCCTGCACACTGTAAAATCAGGTCTCCCTTCTAACTAATTACTGCTATTGTCCAGTTCAGAAATACATGAGGATAGAGATGCTGAGAAGTTGGCACAGAACATGTCACTGAATCCAGCTGACTGCAACAAACTGGGACAGGAGAGAAGGAGTTGGTCAAACCAGAGTATCAGATTGTCCAAGGCATGAATGGACACTGTGTTAAGGGTCCAGAAGTATCATTAAGAATATAAAGCCTCTATTTTGTCCAGGTAAAGTCACTAAGCTACTCAGAGGTATCTGGGGAGATAGAGTTCCACACACAAGGAGCAAGAGATTAGGAGGAATTCGAACAATTAAGTATCTGAAGAAAGATGGGATGAGGTAGAGATTTGTCTTCGACCTTATGTGCCCTTACAATTTAATATAATTCGGCACAAAATCTGAATGACCCTTCAGTGTACAAAGTGATTCATTGGCTTTGGCTTCCTATTATACACAACATCTTGAGAACTTCAAAAGGATAGAGAGATTTTAATTGAGCATCTAAATCTAAAAATCTAAATCTAAAACCTAAATTAACCAAATAACTGCTATTGGCATTAGTGGTTGAAGTAACTGAAACAATTTCTTTTGAACTGACAGGTGAATATAGCACAACAGTTGTATGAGTGTGCACTTCAGCATGAGAAAATGCCAGAGGCAACAGAAGTGACAAGTGGCAGCAGGTAAAACAGAGACATGTCTAGGCACCTTTTAACGGCTTTCTTCGAGCTAATCAGTAAAATGTAGGCCTACAGTGGCTGGTTTTACACTGTCATGTATTATTGTTGTATTTCCCCATGACTATGTCTGTGTGGGCAGTCTGGTCAAATCTTGGTTCATGGTGTCATCCTAGTCAGGCCTGAGGCTATAGTGTTTGTACAGTCACAGTTTCAGTCAATACTATTTTGGTAGTATCTGTGAAAGATGGTCAGGTGAGTCAGAGGTGATGAAGTGTGTCACATGATGCAAACAGGAAACAGCAGTTCAAAATAAATAAAACAACAACAACATATGACTACTTTTGTCAGATTTTTCTTTTAATTTAGCTTTTATAGCCATTTAGTATACTGCAGCTTGTTTTGTTTATTGGTTGCCTTATTTGAAATAGGCAGCCGTTTTTGCTTTTCCTACCGCTGCATGAGAATACGCACAGAAACTGGTTGGACTGGCTAACACTCCCACTGTGTAATAACCCAATGTCCTCAGTGCTCTACAAGTGAGAGCATGTGCGTTTTTCTAGTGAATTGCACATCTATTCTTGGAACTTTCGTTCAGCATTGAATGATTTGATTAAACATTTAAATGCAGCATTTCTTTTACACAATCAGTTTAATACATTGGTATGGTTGTGTATGGCTGGTGTAAACATGAATCAGTTATGCTTATTGGCATTACTTCTGTTTCCTGTTTTCTTTCTTTTTTTCCCCTTTTTTTCTTTTTTTTTTCTTTTTTTAACATTTTAAGAAATATGGTCTATTAAATTTGTGCACAATTAATAATCTCAGTGTAATGGTGCAGGCTACTGTACTCTGTCGCCTCCTGTTGTTCAGAACATACACCACCCAAAATGCCCAAAAGTAGACGTGACTTTCTCCCTGCAGGAGTTTGAAAGGCCTAACGATTCCCAGATGTATTCAGATACAGTTTTTTTCTGCAGTGTGTGCACTGAAGTCTTAGTAAGGGGTTAGACTGAGGATCAAAGTTCATTTGCGCTACTGACCCCTGATGACCTCTGATAATGAGAGGAGTGAGACAGAGCTCACCTGTCTGGCCACTTTAATAACCCCTTTATCTGTGATAGAACAGGTGTTTCTCTGGGGCATTCAAAGCATGATATTGTGTGAGATAATGAGAACATAATGAGAACAATAAGACTATAAACATTGTTTAACATTGCTGAAAAACAAATATACTGATACTGTGTATTTCTGTATTTCTTTGTCCATTTTTGTTCAGTAAATGAGTTTGTAAATCTACTGTGAATTATGCTGCACCTATATGGAATAATACTTTGATATTTGATACTGTCTTTGGACACATGAGTCCAAGCTGCTCTCTGGATGTAAACATGATGCCATCTGAGGCTGACTCCACCTTCAGTCTAAGCTGTATAAAGAAGTGTGATTCTCTCTCTCCGTCTCTCTTACCTAAGTCTATGAGAGGACCTCAGTCTGTGATCTGATCTATCACTGAGGCTGAGGCTGCTGCCTGCCGACAGAGGACCCTTATCCACTGGCCTGAGAGGACAGCTCTGTGCAGCACCATGTCCTCCACTGGTCTGGAGATTCTGGGCATGATCCTGGCCGTGGCTGGGTGGCTGGGGGTGATGGTGGCCTGTGGTATGCCCATGTGGAGAGTGGCTGCATACATTGGACAGAACATCGTAATCTCTCAGGTGATTTGGGAGGGCCTCTGGATGAACTGCTCAGTGCAGAGCACGGGGCAGATGCACTGCAGGGTGCATGATTCCATGCTGGGGCTGCCTGTGGACCTACAGGCTTCCCGGGCCCTGGTCATCATCTCCATGGTGCTGTGCATTATTGGCATTGGTCTGTCAGTAGCAGGGGCGAAGTGCACAAACTGCAGTCAGGATGTGCATGGTAAACCTCGGTTTATGGTAGCTGCGGGAGTCACCTTTATTGTGGCAGGACTGTTGATGCTGGTGGCTGTGTCCTGGACGGCACATGCTATCGTCATGGGCTTCTACGACCCCATGCTGGAGGAGACTGGGAAGAGGGAGTTTGGGAACGCTCTGTACTTCGGCTGGGCTGCCTCCTGCTTGCTCATCCTCGGTGGAGCACTGCTCTGCTGCTCCTGTCCTCCCAGGGCAGCCCGGGCACAGAGTGGCTCTGTGCCACCTCGAGTGGACTACTCTGCTCTTAAGACTGTGACAGTCAACGGGTACACAAAAAGAGACTATGTGTGAACAAACTACATTCTATAGAGCACTGCTGAAGGACAAAGCATTTATTACCGGAAAAGATGATGAATGACAACAACAAAGCCTACAGTTAAACTCTTGACACTCTTCACACTGCTGGGACCTTAGACATGAAGAAATTCATAATTAGTTTTATGTACAGAAGTTTAAATTAAAACCTTAAGTGGGAAGCCAATGTGACCCTGTCAATAGAAATTGTAAATATGCATTGTCTATAATATATTTATACAACTAAATTTAGTAAAATATTTTCTTTTTACAGCTAAAAGTAAATTTACAACTTTGCAGTGTCTTGTATGTTCTTTCTAAAGTATTTTTGTGTTGGAAAGATTCAGATGAAGAAAATCAACTAATAACATCTGAAAGTATTGCATTTTTAAAATCTCAAGTATTTTATTTCACTGGAAGAACCTGTAACAGTGTGTGGCTTGTTTTAAAAGTTCACCTTCTAAGCTCCATTGTTCATGAGAGTTAGTCAGGGAGAGCGGTGAGGAGGGGGACAGAGTGGTCTTACAAAAACAAAGAGCTCTATTGATTTACTGGTTGTGCTGCTTTGAAAAACCTTAAACTGAAAAAAGATCTAAGTGTGGAGTGAAAGAACTTCAATTCAGTACGGGTGGATTCAAATAAAGTGCAAGTGAAAATAAGTTTAAAATACTGATGTTAAATATTGAATAAGAACGCACTGGAAGCTGGAAGGTCTCTAGTGAGCACATGCCCTGGAGACATGTGCACATGGATTAACAAAGCAAAGTTGAGTATACTCACAACCAATGAGTCACTAGAGCAGAGCACATGCTTCTACCCAAGCTAATGGAATTTTGTCATTGCATAATAAACTAACCAGAAGCACCAAAGATAATTAAGAGGCAATTTAATTTAATTAACAAAAGTGGGAGACATGAATTACTATTAAGATGAACAAGTAGACAGTTACAGAGGTACAGTATTTTGTCTACAAGTAATACGCATTATTAAGATGAACAAACTTGCCATTGTATACTTTAGCTCAAAAGCTGATAATTACACCTATAGTTTACTCCACTGTATATTTTCTGAAATCTTAAACAAAATTCAAACAGAAAACACTACTTTCCCCAGACTTTTTCTAGGTCAGTGTGTTACAGTTATCTGAAGAATTTGGTGAGGTGCATTCATGCTGTATTGGGCAAAGCTCTCAGTGTTTATTAACTCTGTGGGGCACCAGGTACATTTCGGAGACATTCCATTCTTCAGGCTGATAAAAGACGGGGGATACAGTAACACCAAGCAACAGTGTACAATGGGGTCTGGTCTGATCTCAAACAGAAGGAAAGAGGTTTGCACATAACTGTATTTTAAAAATATTTTAAAAATTTGCTCAGTTTTAGGGTTTTCAAAAGTCAAATATAGATGAAAACTTTCTTGGTTTCTTCAAAGAGGTGGGGAGGAGAGGGAGTATACACAGTATGTATTAGAAGAAGATAACAACACACAGAATAAGACCTGCATACAAAATACAACTGTTGCAAAACTACAAAACACACAAAAAAAATCACATTATTTATTTATTTTAAATTAGTTAGCTTTTTGCAGTTGTATTACAAACTTATATTTTCTAAACTGTAATTATGAGACACATATACCATAATCAAGGAAATATTTTAATGCTTGGATTCAAAATATTGTAGTTTCACTGGCATAGACTTTTACTTATTTACAGTTTAGTGATTATTACAGATACAGGGAGAGTCTGCAGACAGCTTTTACGATTTCTTCTCCTGTCAATCATTCACCCTTCTATCTTTGTGTGGTCTGTTAGGCTTTAACCAACACTGACCTCAGATACTGCCTCTCTGTTTGCTGTCCCCTCACCCAAACAGGTGTGTGAACTACCAGGACTCAAAGCAAGTTCAATCATTAAGCCAGGGTTGCTAACATGCCTAACATGATGGCCAAATCAGCTTCAACAGAAGATAATTTGAAAGTCATCCTGACCAATAACCAAGTGACTCCACCCTCAGCTTTGTGTTAAAGCAAGCTTATATTAGCTGGAGACTGTACACTAGTCAGTGTATCCCATTCAAGCTCTCCGTAGGACAGCTTTGGTCTCCATCATGCCTTCTGCTGGACTTGAGATTCTTGGTGTTACCCTGGCTGTTTTAGGATGGATCTCTGCCATTGTCTCTTGTGCTTTACCCATGTGGAGGGTATCAGCATTCATCGGGGTGAACATAGTGACCGCTCAGATCACATGGGAGGGCATCTGGATGAACTGTGTGGTCCAGAGCACTGGCCAAATGCAGTGCAAAGTGCATGACTCCATGTTGGCTTTGAGTGGGGACCTCCAGGCTGCCCGTGCCCTCACTGTCATCTCTATAGTCCTGGGCATTGTAGGTGTGATGGTGTCGATAATGGGGGCAAAGTGCACCAACTGTGTGGACCAGGAGGTGGTTAAAGCTAGGGTGATGATAGCAGCAGGAGCTTGCTTCATCATAGCTTCTCTGATGGAGCTGATCCCAGTGTCTTGGTCAGCACATACAATCATCATGGAGTTCTACAACCCAGTGACACCTGAGGCGCATAAGAGGGAGATAGGAGCAGCGCTGTATTTGGGATGGGCCGCCACTGCCTTCCTTCTGATTGGTGGGATCATCTTGTGCTCCAGCTGCCCACCACAGACTGAGAAGAGGTACAGGCCTCCATCCAAAGTAGTGTACTCTCAAACACGGTCAGTGGCCCCGAGTTATCCTGAGAGGAGAGACTATGTGTGAGGAACTGGGGCTTGGTAACATTAGAATGGACACAAACAGGGCTTTGTACTGTATAGTCAAGACTTTTTTCTTTAAAAACATTGTATTTATGCTGTTTTTGTTCTTGCTGTCAATTTTTTTACAGAAAAAAAGTACTGTATCTTATTAAAACAATTTGTTTTCTTTTGTGTCTTCATAAGTATTTGTTTTTTATAGCATAAATTTTTCTGAAGTTAACAAGTGTTAGCTCTGGGAACACCTTTTAAAATAAAATATTAACATAAAAGATAAAACTGTATTTTTTTGTGTGAAATCCTCATACAGCAATATTATGTTAGTTGTGTTTTAGACAAAACATTGGCAGGTGCATTGGTAGTATAGTCCTTGTGCGTCATTGTTGCCATTAGGTTGATGACGGGAAGTCCCAGTACGTGCATGTTTCACTTGCCTGTCTCCCATATGCTCAGTCTGCTCTGAGAAGAACCACTACTTTGTGTGCTGAGCCACAGCATTAAACAATGGGTCTGTTTCATGGAGCAGGGAGACTGGGTTATCAGCTTGAGGTCACTGAGTGCTGAGGGGGAGGTGTCTTGGGAGATGGCCTCATCCCTCCAAAAATTCAAGGGCATTCTGCAGACAGATCAGCTCATTAAAGGCCATCAAAGGCTGTACTCCTGCTGAGTGAAAGTCAAAACTATTTCTAATAAAACCAAACTTAAAACACAGCTGTGTTTGAGTAACTTTTCATGAAAAGTAAAAAAAAAAAAAAAAAGTTTCCACAAATTTAAATAAATAAACTTAACTAATAATACATGTTTTTATATGTTTATTTACTTAACCCAAACACACACTGGCCTGTTTCTTGTCTTTTCCTGTGACCCACACCTGTAGACATGCAACATAAATCGTTTAGGTTACATTTAAAGACAGCAAGAAAGTTATAATCAGTGTTGACACCTAATTACAGGTGGGTGCCTCCATCACTGTTGGGCTGTCAAAGGCCTCTTTGTGGCCAGGGCTATTATGAGAGTAGCCTGTAAACTGATAGTTGTCTTCACAACTCGGTAGGTCCTTCCTCCCCTTGCTGAAGTCAGCTGCTGCGGGCTCCTCCTCTGCACCTGCCCTGCCTTATAAACTCTGGATACTGTGGTCCAGGCAACATCCCTCTTACAAGTGTCACGCACATTCAGGACTACAGGAAGAAGACTGCTGTTCAGGATGTCCATAGGTCTGGAGCTGATTGGCATTTCTTTGTGCATTTTGGGATGGATTATTGCCATTGTTGCTTGCGCTCTTCCCATGTGGAGAGTTACTGCCTTCATTGGCAGTAACATAGTAACAGCGCAGATCATATGGGAGGGTTTGTGGATGACCTGTGTGGTCCAAAGCACAGGGCAGATGCAGTGTAAAGTGTACGACTCCATGCTGGCCCTGTCTCAGGACCTCCAGGCTGCTCGGGCACTCACGGTGATCTCCATTCTCCTGGCCATCTTAGCTGTGCTCATTGCCATTGCTGGAGCCAAGTGCACCAACTGCATTGATGATGAGGCATCCAAGGCCAAAGTTATGATCATTTCCGGAGTATTTTTCATTGTCTCAGGCGTCATGCAGCTCATCCCAGTGTGCTGGTCAGCTAACACCATCATCAGGGACTTCTACAACCCTCTCCTGACAGATGCTCAGAGGAGAGAGCTGGGAGCTGCACTGTATATTGGATGGGCAGCAGCAGCTCTCCTGATCCTGGGAGGGGGACTGCTGTGCTGCTCCTGTCCACCGCGAGAGACACGGTACAACCCATCTCGAATGGCCTATTCAGTGCCTCGGTCTGCAGGGGGGCCAGCTTTAGAGAGGAAAGACTATGTGTAAAATGGAACATACAGAACAGACATTGTTTAAACCTTATCTCTGACTGAAAAGTAATGAAAAAAGACTCACTGTGAAGGATGATAGTGACCAAACTTTCTTTTTCTGTATTTATGAAAATATTTTGCTTCACAAAAATATTAACAAGTGACACAAATGTTTTTGTGATAAGGTCATGCACTAATTTTAAATACTATCTGTTTTGTTTTGTTTTTTGTTTTTTTTATATTTGGTTGCCAGTAAATATTTTTACATCACATAGCATTTTTAGATAATGTTTAGATGGAACAAATACAAACATTTCTGCTTATTTCTGTCTTGTAAATAAGGTTAAGTAATACCTTTGAAGGTCATCCCAAATGATTGTGGTCGTTAGGCTTGGTGTTCCCTCAAGAAGGGAAGGCTCTCATGTGTGCATGTATTTGTCATAAACATTTTTTTGTCTTTTTTAATTAAATGTCTTTTTTCATAAAAGTGTAATGCATCTTTGTCCATCCCACAAATTACATGTTTTTCCTGAAAGGGCTTACTCATGCCCTGGTCACTCACTAAAATGACACCTGTGCAATGCACCCAGCACATTTGAAAGGTTATCCTGTCACCTAACGCCAGGTGCCACCTGACCACATGCTGACAATTTAACCACATCTGCTCCCACCAATTAGCCACCGGATCGTTTACAGCACAGGTGACAAGTGTGAGTCATTCATGGCTTACATGTATTAATATATATATATATATATATATATATATATATATATATATATATATATATATATATATATATATATATATATATATATATATATATATATATATATATGACTCACACTTATATATATATATATTAGGGGTGTCAAATTATCGCGTTAATTGCGATTAATGAATTACAGTCATATTTAGCGCGTTATGTTTTTTTAATCTCTAACTTTACTGTTTCTGTTTGCGAGTTGCTTTATTATAAAACCTGTTTTTATGTGTTGTTGGGACAACAACACACACACACACACACACACACAAAAACACATTTATAATTTTTTTTTATTTCGGTAATTCCACTCATTGCCGGAAACCCACACAAAATGCGCGCAGTAAGAGCGATGTAAACGTCATGTTGACGTTGGCGGCGTCAGTCGCACAATGGACGAGGCCTACAACTTAAATGTCACTGGTGAAAACAACCTGCATAGGCTCATGATGTCTGCACTACTGTCCTATAGTGACCTGCCACATGAGGGGACACGCACACAAACACACACAAACACACACCTTCATCATCGTCATTAACCTGAGAATGCGCGGACCACGTTTCTTTCCATAGTTACTGCGCGGACACCGACGTGCTCCCGTGCGCCGCGTACGTTTTCTCGCATACGATGCGTAAACCGCGCTTCCTCCTGTGCGCCTCTAAACCAGAACTAACACAAAGACTAAAACCGGGACTAACCCAGTCCAGGACTAAACCAGGACTAAACCAGGACTAAACCAGAACTAAAACCAGAACTAAAACCAGGTCTAAACCAGGTCTAAACCAGGTCTAAACCAGGACTAAACCAGTACTAAACCAGAACTAACACCAGGATTAAAACCAGGACTAACCCATTCCAGGACTAAACTAGGACTAAAGTAGGACTAAAGCAGGTCTAAACCAGGACTAAAAGAAGGACTAAAACCAGTGATCTCATATATATAGCATTTCTATATCAATAATATTTTTAATATGGTTAAGGAAAGACTGGACTTTTTATTGTCTTTAAGTAGACAAAAGTTATCATGTTCAGATTTCCTAGTCTTTGCTACTTTACAGCAAACAGTTTCTTATTCATGGAGACTTGGGCTCAACAGCCAATTTGGAGAGATTTGTTAAACAATAAATGACTTTATAAAGTCACCTTTTTTTTGTTCTATCAGTCTTTTGATCTGCCACAATAATGTAATAATGAATTTAAATGAAAATACCTCAAATTGAAGGCTTTTCTCAGCAATTTTTAGGTGAGATTAAAAAGATTAATTAGATTAATTAATTACAGATCATAATTAATTAATCTCTCATTTTTTTTAATCGCATGACAGCACAAAAAGAAAGAAAAAAAAAAATATATATATATAGTCACTTTTACTTAACAGTACAAAACATTACTATTGTAACATCACTGTTGTTCTTGTTGTCATCTGAAACTGTTGATCATTCAGGAAAGGTTTGGTTGTAAGATATAGTCTAAGTCCTTCTGTTCTCAGAAAAGCATGATGGAACACAGTCCCACTGATCTGTGTTTCCCGTGGTTGTTCCAGTGATTGGTCAAACCACCCTCAGGCAGTCTAGCCTTTGTTAAACAAAATTTTCACAATCACATTTTTGTGACAAAATAGTCATATCCAATAACGTGCTAAAGTAACTAACATAAAATGTAAAATGTTGCATTCATGTAAAAAGATTAGGTCAGAGCAAGTTTCTAGTCATGGTCTCATGGTTTTGACCAAATGCTGATCATGTGACCGAAACTTGGGAGTATGAGGGGCACGTAGGTTGGTTGCCTAGTACCTGAATCAGAGAGGGCATATCCCCCCGCACAGACAGGCTGTGGTGGAAACAGATACTTGCTCAGCATGCTTGAAAAATTCAAAGTCCAGGCCTGAGATGGTGAGGGAGACTTTGTGCAGTTCATGGACATTAGAGTCAAAGAGAAAATGTAGCTTTTTGTTAGTTAGTTAGTTTGTTTTGTTTTATTTCTGGTAGTCTACTTCATGATCATAATATGAATGTACGCCTACTGTTTTGATAAGTATTATAAGATAGATTAAAACACCTCTGTAAAACTGATTAATATACTTCTCTCACTAGTTGTCCTACATTCATAAAATTAATAATTTCAACTTTAGTCTATTATCATGTTGTCTTTTAAAAACTGGAGTCACATAGGCTGAAAATAACTGGGTATGTTCCTGTGGCACCGTCAGGATTTGATATAACGCCGAAAGGTCCACGCTGATCCTCCTTTAGCGCAGCCATCTTGTGGCTCTATCAAGAAGTGCATGTTCTTTACAGTAGCTTCTTG